CGGCCCCGCGCTCCCCTCCTCCCCGCGGCCGCACTCACCCGCTCCGGAATCGGCCCGGTCGCCCCTGCCCGCGCTCCACAGCCGGCTGAGAACGGCGGCGGCGCGGGCTCCACGTGCAGCGTCTCTCCGGGTAAGACCTGCCGCTCCCGAGACTCCAAGTGTGAGGCCCCCGGGCCCTTCCCGCGGAATCGGCGCCGAGCAACTCCAACCCCCCTCCCGCCTCCCAGGCACCCCCGGGTCCGGGACTACAACTCCCAGCAGGGTGTGCGAAACAACGCCCAAGGCAACGGAGGCTCACGAGGCCCAAGGAAGCACAACGCCCCGATCCGCTTTGTTTTACATAGTCTCAGTTTCCCCGCACAGTCATACACCTCAACAACCCGAAAGAACAGGACGCTGACACAGAGGGGAGCTTGAACTAGGGGACAAGCCAGTCACAGTGAGCATGCGCAAAAGCAAGGTGTCAAGGAGGAAAACGAGCGGGTCAGGTTAGGCGAAGAAAAGATGGCGGAAGCTTCGCCAGGGGACCCGGAAGCACTTACCCTCCACTTCCTCCTCCTGTTTGGCTTCTGTCTCACCTAGAGCTGTCCGGTCGCAGACTGTCTCCGAGACGCTTCCTGTCCGGTGAGTGTCGACCGACTGAAACGGTGGCCCATAATGCATTGCGATGGCGGGTAGGCGTGTGGGGGGCGGGGCCAGGGCCGGAAGTAGATCGGTGGCGGCGGCGGTGGCTTTGGCAGCTCGGGACTGAGTGCAAGGTGACTGGGAGGATGGCTAAACCAGCGTGGCCTCTTGGGACTCTAGTTCTGGGTTTCTTCACGAGGCCTGGGCTGCCTCTCACCTCTGCTCTACTAGGAGAGGAGGGCAGCCCTATGTCCCGGGCACCTTCGCGGTCTGGCCCGGGGTCACAGCTGACCCGGCGCTTGTAGGCCTTGAGGTTTGCCGCAGACCCGATAATGAGACTGATAGTATCCAAAGGGCCAACCGGGGAGGCGCCGGAGGCAGGGAGGCTGGGGAGTCACGCACCCGCAGCCTGGTTGGGACAATCCAAGGTCAGTGCCGCGGGGCACGTTTGCGGCCAGACCCACCCATCAGGGCGCGCGGAAGATTCTTCTCGACTCTTTAGGCAGGACGGAAGAAGGAAAAGAGTAGCGGTGATTTTAAAATCTTGTGTCCCACCAAAAAAGGATGATGGTGCTAAAATCCCGTTAGGCAGTTTTGTGGATTGACTTTAGGAATATGCACCGACTGCAGAGGCAGCGAAGGGACTAACCTTTGGCTGGTCAGTCATTCCCATAAATAGGAGCACCGTGACCCCGCCCACGACAAGGCCTGGGCACCGACTGTAGCCTTTTGCTGTGGCCTTCCCCTGTCTTTGTGATCGTGCCACGTACTTTCATTGACCCGATCGAATTTACCACAGATGGTCGTTTATGCCTATTTGTGCAGTGGCATGTGTCTCCTAGTAAACAGTCCACACTCACTGTTTAATCAGCGAAAAACAATGAAAGGAAATAAAGGAGAAGAAAAAAAAATAAAAGGGAATAAAACCTGGTGTGAGATTGTCATCAGTTTTTGGATGGGTTTGTAGGACTTGGGGGGACGAGAGCTGTTGAATATAGTATATAGGTTTGGGGTTCAGGAAGAAAACCAAAATTAGATGTGATTTGGGAATCATTAGCACTAAGGTGATAGATAATTTGGAAAAAATGGATGTCATGTATATTGCAGTAGGAATAACCTTTTTGCAGTCAGAACACGTTAACTGGGAATATAGGCAACTTAACTTTTCTCAGACATAGTTTTATCATCTGTTAAGTAGGATTAAGAGCACTTTCCTCTAACTCTTCTAGAGTTAAGGGCACGAGGGGAGAACATATATCGGGGTACGTTGCGAAATATCTGGGGCTGAACAAATATTAGGTGAACTTATTGCTGAATAAGTTCATATAAGTGTGTCCTTGCTGGGCTTGGTGGCTCAGCCTGTAATCCCCGCCTTTGGGAGGCTGAGGTGAGTGGATTGCCTGAGCCTGCGGGTTCAAGACCCGCCTGGGCAGCGAAACCTCATCTCTACAATAAATCAAAAAATCAGCCGGGCGTGGTAGCGCATTCCTGTAATTCCGGCTACTTGGAAGGCTGAGGCGGAAGGATCGCTGGAGCCCAGCAGGTCGAGGCTACGGTGGCCAGGAGCAGCCACTGCACTCCAGTCTGGAAGATAGAGTGAGACTCCAGCTCAAAAAATAAATAAATAAATGTGTCCTTAAGTTGCCAGAAAGAAAAGTAGACACAGAGTTGCACAGTTTTTAAAATGTGTTTAGTTAGATTCTACTGTATGCGTAAAAATGGGAATGATAATAAGGTGCACCTTATAAGGTCATTTGTTGTTTACTTGTAGCCTTTTCTCAAGTATCTTTCTCTGATGGGGTATAAGAGTCATATATTTTGAATTCTTTAATTTCTTCAAATAGTTTGCTTTTATCCTGACAGGTGAAGGATATCTTCTTGATTGTAGGATTTCTTTTGATAGTTTTTATATGCTACTAAGGGCTTATCAACATTAGTCTGTTGACCCTTTGGGCCAGATAATTCTTTGTTGGTTGGGGGAGGGGGTGTTGTTATTGTTGTTAAGATCTAGTGTTTGACAGCATTCCTGGCCTCTTACTCATTACAGACCAGTAGCACTCACCTTGGACAGGACAACCAAAAATGTCTTGGTACATTGCTAAATGCCTTCTGGGAGAGAAAAGCTTCCCCTCACATCCCCCTTCCTATTTGAGAACCATTGTGCTGTTGCCTGCTTCTGCTTCTAGCTAGGGCTTCTCAAATACTCCATGGTAGAGAGCCATCTCCACCCCCTCATTCTTGTGGATACTTTTAAAGAATACAGCAAAAATAAGTTACCGAAAGAATGAAATTTTCAAAAAGCATACAAATACAAGCTCTAATTGTATTTTTAAATATAACAGACATTCCCAGTTTCTGTATTATTGTAGACCAGTAACAAAAGTTTGTATATGGCCTCTAGTCTATCTATTATAACTTAACAGAAGTTCAGTGTCGGTGTGATGATGATGACTAGTGTTGCTATTAGGAAATTTGAGGTGAGGGCATGGGAAGCATGTTAGCATTTCAGGTTTTCATTTAAGATTCAGAAATTTTCGCAGACTATGTTGAGGTGCAAATCTTTTATCATTGTTCCAATATGGGGTTTTCTAAGCCCTGTCAGTTTATAAACTCAGTCTTTTAACGTGAGGGAAATTTTCTTGTACTAATTATTGCCTCCTTATCTTTTCCTTTGCTTCTAGAATTCTTGTTTGCCTGTATTTGTTGTAATTTGGAGTGTTTTTTTGCATCTGCTCTTGAAACTACTAAGTCAAATCTCAACAGAGATCATCTTTTTAAATTTATTTACTGAAACTTTTTCGCTAAAAAAATTATATATTTTAGCTTCAAGAAGTCTAAGATTTTGAAAGTCTAAGTATTTTTAAAATTTAGCACTTTCACTTATTTTACAAATACTATTTCACTAGTAAGATTGTACTGTCTCATCTTCCCCTCTCTCATTGCACAGCTCTCTTGGGCTGGTTGCTGTTTTCCTTTGTTGGTTCTTTTGCACTTTGATTTGGTTGTTGTGGTACTCTTTTTTTTTTTTTTTTTTTTAGTTGGAGTCACCTAACTTGTCCAACTCTTGTCCCCCAGACTGGAGTGCAGTGGCACGCTCACGGCCACCACAGCCTCAACCTGCTGGGACCTGCTGGGCTTAGGCAATCCTTCTGCCTCAACCTTCCAAGTAGCCGGAACTACAGGCGCACATTACCACACCCGGCTAGTTTTTGTGATTTATTGTAGAGACAGGTCTCACCAAGTTGCCCAAGCTGGACTCAAATCCGCCTCGGCCTCCCAAAGTGCTGGTATTATGTGCAGAGCCACTGAGCCCAGCCATGGTATTCTTAAATGGCTGGAATTCTGTTGTAACAGGCAGAGCTGTTTCTCCCTTTGTGGGCCTATGAAGTACACACTTTCAGCTTATCTTTCCTGACTGAGCCAACTGTATCCAGTTTTCCTGCCCAGCTCTCTTTTGGTCTTTTGATGGGGTCACGGAAACCTGGTACATTTCATTTGGGGCTGGTGTTCTTTTTCTTCTGGAGGTAGGCGGTGTTCTAACAAACTACCTGTACTATTTCCTCTGATCCAAGGCCAAGTTCATGGGAGAAGAAACGCCCCATTCCAAATTTTGTGCCTTCTTTCTGCCCTAACCCAGATGGAGCCTCAGGCCTGAGTTGTTCCTAAACTGTTCCTAGATCCCAAGTCCTTTTGGTTAAGAACTAAGGAACTTGTAATGGGTAATGAAAAGGCGAAGGAAACTGTAGTCAGGTGTAGACTGAGTTCTGGTATGATTGAATAGCATAGCAATTAGCAAAATTAGAATCCCACTATAGATGTATTTAGCGGTGTCTTACAATAAGTATATTAACATTTCTAATGCTTGTTTTCAGTAACATAGAATCGCCATGGTTCTTCAGAGGCTCTTCAGATTCTCCTCTGTCATTCGGTCAGCAATCTCAGTCCATTTGCAGAGGAACATTGGTGTTACAGCAGTGGCATTTAATAAGGAACTTGATCCTGTACAGAAACTCTTCGTGGACAAGATTAAAGAATACAAATCTAAGAGACAGTAAGTGGGTAGATGATTGACCTTGGTGTACATTTAGATATTAGAAGTATGTAAGTTTCAAGATGGTAATAAAATAATTACTCAGTGTTTGAAAGTATCAGACCTTCACTGAGCTGATCCCTGACATTGAAGTTCGTTAGGTGCCTTCAAAAAGAAGATAAGGATCTTGATTTTTTTAAGTCTCAAGTTCTATCTTGTTTATAAGGGTTACAAGGGAAAATTATATTAAATCTATTATCATTTAAAATACAATATATCCTTTCTGTAATATCATTTATTATAAGCTAAGTCAATTCATAGAAGTACATAGGATCTTGGAAAACATTCAGCAGATGTATTTGAAAAAGTAAGTACCTTACACATTCATTAGCCTATGCTCATAAAACTAATTGGACAGACACCCCTTATTAACAAGGGTGCCTGAATGATACACATTTGTATATGTAACCCTTAACTGTACCCCACAATTTTATAATAAAAAATATGTTTAGAAAAAAAAAACTAATTGGGCAGATATGTTATCAAAATATTTTAACTTTCAATTTAGTGCCTTTTCTGTGACATCATGATCTTGGGGAAATGTGTAAACAGCAATTTTTCATTCAGGGTATTTCCATAGTTATATATCTCTGGGAATGTGAAAGGACAAAAGACTCTGAAATGGCATAAAGTAGCCCAAGGAAAACATGATTGTAGAACCACACAGTTTTGGGAATGAATGACCACCTTAGGCATCATCAGATCCAACCCTTAAGTCTTAGAAAGAGTGATATGCATCAGTTCATAGTGCCATATTCTTTCATTTAGTTGTCTATCATGTGCAAAGCGCTGAACTGTTAACTATGATAGGCCACACTGCATTTCCACAGTATGCTTAAAATTGGATTGGGGTAGAAAGTTTGTAAGCAAGTAAATACAACAGGGTAAAATAGGTTAGGTGCTAACATAGTGACCTGCTCAGTATTTGGGAAGTTCCCAGGAAACAATACTCCTTTCTAGCTGGAGGCATTTTAGAAGGCTTCGTGGAAGAATTAACGTTGTACTTGGTGTTGAAGGCAGCATCTGTGGGTCATTAATCCCTCTTGAGAATCTCTTGGAGAGCTGTGGATTATTTTACCAGCTGACAAAGAAAAAAGTAAAGAATGTACTCACATTATTTTGCTTATAGCTTGAAAGGATTCTCCAACCTGCAAATGGCTGTCAGTAAACATGTACACTCAGGGACCTACCCCAGGTTAAGACCAATTGGTATGAAGTTGGACAGATAAAGAAGGGTAGGAGGAGGAAGTCTTTTAGGAGGAAAGAATGGCATGAACTAAGACATGAAAACTAGAAAGCACAAACATATTTGATGGGATTGTATAATTCTTCTCCCTGGAGTATAGGGCACATGAGGAGTATACAGAGCAGTAAGGATGGCATGAGGTTAGAATGAGGGATTATTAGAAGGCCTTGATTGTAGATTGGGCAAGTAAATATCGTGTGATAGGCATTTGTGAGAAATTAAAGGTTTTTAAACACAGTCGTGGGAGTGGAATAAGATTACTCTGAATTAGGAAGATAATTTTATTTATTTATTTACTTATTTATTTTTAAAAAGCAGGATTCATTGAGAGGACAGAAAAACTCCCAGAGCAGGAAGGGACCCATGGGGGTTGCCCAATAATCTTATTTTTTAAATTTATTTTATTTTATCCTTTGAGTTGGAATCTCACTCTGTTGTCCATGCTGGAGTGCAGTGGCATATCACAGCTTACTGCAGCTTTGACCTCTAGGGCTCAGGTGACCCTTCCACCTCAGGTTCCCAAATAGCTAGGACTACAGGTGTGTGCCACCACACCTGGCTAATTTTTAGATGTTTTGTAGAGACGAAGTCTCTCTGTGTTGCCTAGGTTAGTCTCAAACTACTGACTGAGCTCAATCACTCCTCTCACTTTGGCCTCCCAGAATGCTGGGATTAAAAGTGTGAGCCACCGTGTCTGGCTGTAAGATAATTTTAATCAGTACATTGGAAGGATTGGAATGAGAAGAGAGCAAAGACAGAAATGTTAGGAAAATGTAATGATCCAAGCATTAATTGATGAGAACTTTGACTTTATAGCAGTGGGAATAGAAAAGTGACCAAGTCAAGACATTGAAACATGAAGAACTGGTCTTTGTGAACTAGTGGAAAAGCAGAGGAGAGGGAACAATAAAAAAACCAGACTTCTGAAACAAGGTAATTAATGAAAAGGTGTTGCCATTACCAGAACTGAGAAGGAAAGAAGGTGAAGGGATAAAAATGTATTAAGGTACCATTTGCTTTATAAACATAGTTATGGAACTTTTATGACAATCCTGTAGATGTTGCCTCAGTTCAAGTGAGGATTTGCTACATAAGTAGGCTGCATGTAGGTGAAGTTTGGGCTTCTAGCTGGCCTTCTTTTCCCTTGGTAGCGTAACAGGTACCCTTCGTGTTGCTATGAAGCTCCTTCCTTCTTTCCTCTCTCTGTTTCCTAGCAGTGCTCAGCATCTACCAATTCCACTCTTGTGCTAGTGTGACTAGTATTTAGGGCCCGGTTATGAGTAAGAACATGCAGTATTCAGTTCTTTGTTTCTGTGATAGTCCATAGTATGGTGATCTGCAACTGCATCCAAGTTGCTGTGAAGGCCATGATTTTGTTCTTCTTTATGGCTGCAGAGTATTCCATCGTGTATACATTCCACGTTCTTTATCCAGTCCACTTTTGATAGGCATCTGAGTTGGTTTCATCTTTTTGCTATTGTGAATAGTATGGCAATAAACATGCATGAGCAGGTGTCTTTCTGGTAGAACACCCCAGTTTTATATATGAGAAAACCAAGGCTGAATTTGCCAAAAATCACACTACTCAATAAGCAGGTATACAGGACTGACCCGGGAATTTTGAATGTCTTCTCTCAAAGGGGGTTTTGCATCTTGTATTGATGCTGTTTGTATTTTAATTGTCCTTAAAAGCCCATCTAATGAGAAGTCAATTCTTAGGTTCACCCTGATTCTAAGTCTGGTTTGTACAGACAAAAGCATGGGAGAGGTGTTCTGAGTGTGGACCCTGGGCTGGAATCCAGCACTGTCACTTGTTAGCTCCATGACCGTGGGCAGGTTACTTAACCTCTATATTACAGTTTCCTCTTTTGTAAAATGGGCATGATAATATGGGGATGATAACTAATGGACTTAGCCATTTCGTAGAATATCATAAAGATAAACTGATTCAATAAATTAGCATGCCTAGTGTTTACTAAGCGAAATACCTCTTGAGTGTCTACTCTGTCCCAGTCACCACACTCGAACCTAGTGATATAGTGGTAAACAAAATGGGCAACAAGACTTATATTCAGTTGAGGAGGTAGATGACTTCAGGCCCCTTTTTATCATGCGGGTGCATATTAAAGTTACAGTAGCCATTATTCATCACTAACCAGTGTTAGAGTATCTGGTTGAAGCCTCTTGTTAGAACTGCACTGTCTGTCTTGATAACCGTGACTCACATGGGACTATTTAAATTCTAATCAGATACAATTAAGTTAAAATAAAAATTCAGCTCCTCATTAGTATTAGCCATATTTCTAGTACTCATTAACTAGATAAGCCTAGTGGCTACTCTATTGGACAGCGCAGGTATAGAGCATTTCTAACATCACAAAAAGTTCTTTTGAATGGTGCTCATCTAAAGGAAAATTGAATTCATAACAAGAAACATTGTTAACAAGTTCTTAAATTGGAGCTCAGTATTGTTTGTAGAAATTCTTTAACATTAATGAAACTCTGCTTTGATCCATAGACATGCATGAAAACATATTACCCTTGTGAAGGAACTTTCACTCATACATTGATAGGTAGGCTGTATCATTTATAATAAAAACAGAAGAATTTGTTCAAAGAATTGATTAAATGTAATTGACTTCACTGTTAATCTGTAATGCTATATTTATCTTTCCAAACCACAACTCTTAATTTTTTCATATTATTGCTTTGCAAATAAAATACAAACTCCTAGGCTTAACATTCCAGGCCTCCCATGATCTGGCTTCTGCTGGTTTTTCTACCTAAACCTTAGCATTCCCCACCTATAGCCAAATGCTTTACTACTTTCATGTCTTCACTTTTTCAGTATTATAAGGTCTCAAAATAAAATCTGGCCCCAAATGCCTGATTATCTCAAATGCCACCTTTTTATTTTTATTTTATTTTTTTTGAGTTGGAGTCTCACTCAGTTGCCCAGACCGGAGTGCAGTGGCTGCTCCCAGCTACCACAACCTCGACCTGCTGGGCTCCAGCCGATCCTTCTGCCTCAGCCTTCCAAGTAGTAGTAACTACAGGCTCATGCTACCACAACCAGCTAATTTTTTTTTTATTTATTTACTGTAGTGATGAGGTCTCACCAAGTTACCCAGGCGGGTCTCAAACTGGTGGGCTCAGGCAATCCATTCACCTCAGCCTCCCAAAGCACGGGATTACAGGCTGAGCCACCGAGCCCAGCCTTAGATGCCACCTTTTTAAAAAGAAATTTTCCCTGATTATCTCAGCAAAAGTGATCTCAACTTGAAAAGCTTTCTATTAAACCGTCTTTGAAACTCATCACATAACTCTTACAGCATGAATGTTTGTGAACATGTAATTTTTTTTTCCAAATTGCAAAACTCCTGAAGGTAGGAAATAATTTGCTTCTTTGATAGACTCTATTCTAGAGACTTGAAATTCCTAAGAGCTTTTAAAAGTCATTTAGATGACTAATTTAAAATAGATGATAATAATAGATAACACGTATTGAGTGCTCACTGTGTTCCGGCTCAGGGCTGCGTGGTACATGTGCATTATCTCTTTAATTCTTTTAACATTTTTATTGGGTAGGCTCCTCATTTTTAGACATGGAAACTAAAATTTAGAGTGCTTTGTGCTTGCTCTGGTTTATGCAGTTTCTGGATGGTAGAGTTGACATTTAAAGGGTACCATTCTTTGACTTTGGAGCCTACAGTGTCAAATTACACCTTATTGCAACTTAGTCCCTGAGAGATTCTGACTTAATAAGTATTCTTGATACTGACAAACCTTGAATATTAGATTTGTTTGAAGTTACCTCATTTATGTGAAACCTCATATTAAAATAACTTGAATTGAAATTCAAGTGGAAAGATTTGTTTTCTGAGTCTTTTTTTCCCTACATAAATGCCTTTAGAAGGTCTATTGAAACTTGTTGGTGAAAAGCATTTTTTGTAAACTAGTGCATCAGTTGTTTTTATTTGCTCTTTTATACAACAGGGCATCTGGAGGACCTGTTGATACTGGCCCAGAGTATCAGCAAGACCTAGAAAGGGAGCTGTTTAAGCTTAAGCAAATGTATGGTAAAGGAGACATGAATACGTTCCCTAACTTCAAATTTGAAGGTAACTCTCTTTAATCACAGATTCATTCTTGTGGGGGATCATTGTAAGTGGAATATTTATACTTCTTTGAGTTGTTTAGAGGACTAAATGACAATTACATGTGAATTTATTACACCTATGATGTATACATGAGAAGCTTTTGGATAAATGTTTGCTGTTAGTGTAGAAGATGACATAACAGAGATTAAATGATGGGGATCTGAAATCAAACTGCCTGATCTTCAGTCTTGACAGTATCACTTTCAGCTGTGTAATCTTGGGTAATTACCTGATGCCTGTTTCCTCATCTGATGTTTAGGGAGAATTAAAGTATCTTCCTCTTGTGGTAGTTGTAGTTAATGACATAATACATGTAAAGTCAGTGAATAGTACGCCTGGCTCATAGGAAGTGTTGCATAGATGTTTAGTTATTATTATATTTCTACTGTTAAATTTCTTTGGAGATGTTTTAAAACAGTAAATAGTCACTAAAAAACACTCAGAAGATTAATGAGTTAAATCTTGAAGCATTCTAGATAATGCATTGTATTGGAGTATGGCTAAACTTGAACCTTTATTTTTTTCTTTTAGATCCCAAATTTGAAGTCATCGATAAACCTCAGGCCTGAAGAAATTAAAATTAATAATGGATTAGTTGTATAACTCGTCAGAAATTTCAGGAAAAAAACATACATTTCACAATTCCAAATAAATTATTTGGTGATGTTGAGTGTATTGTATTTTGTGTTGTAGGGTTGTTTTTTACGTCCTCTAATTTGGTTATAATGAAGCAGATAGAGAACCTGGATAAATTGGGCATAACTTGCCCATAACCCTGCCAGACTCTTCTCAGTATACAGGGATATCCTTTTAGTATCGGAGCCATACAGCTTGAGGCGAGCCTCCATTACCCAAGGGAGGGATGTTACACCTTCTCCTAGGATATGAAGAAATGATTTCTAAATCCTTTGTCATATCATTCTCAGAAAATTAGAGTGTAATTTTTAGCATGTACAGTAATATTTATCATGTTTTAACGTCCATCTCCTTAAATGATTCTATCCCAGTAACCCAGCTCCCTCACCTTTGCTTGCAGATTACAGCATCTACCAGAGTTCTGAACAGACTGAGAAGGGAAGGGTGGGGACGAGGGTCCTATAAAGGAAACTACTTTAAAAGATCAATCTATCTGTTTGTTTCTCTAAGTAACAAAAGACCCAGCAGATACGTCCTGGATAAGTGGCATATCAGGCACCAGGCTCTCAAGGAAATTACTTTTTTAAAAGGAAAAATAGTTTTCTTCAAGTGCAGCTAAGTAATGACAGATCAGTTGAACTGCTTTTATTTAAAGAATTGTAGGCATTGGAACAGAGACTCTGGTATTGAATAATGGCACGACTTGAAGTTAATCAAGGAAGTCTCGTTGGCCCAGGGTCTTCCTCGCACCTCTCCTGAAACAGTTCTTCTCCACCCTCTGTGGCAGCCACACTGCCCTTGGTCAGCTGCAGGTACCATCAGTAGAGAACAGACTTGCCTTTCAGCATGTGCTTCACCTCCCCATTTCTTTCCTGCCCTCTCCACTTGAAGTTTACCTGAATTTTGCCTTTTATAATCTTACACCTGTTTCTCCTATATACATTTTTATCTGCCTCACAACTACGTGGGATTTGCTTGAACATCTCAACCTTTGATTCATTATAGGAATAGGATTCTATTTGTGACTGACTGTAAGAAGCACCCTGCTTCCATGCTCTATATTATTTATATCTATATTATTATATCTAAATTGTGGTCAGTCAAGCACTCCGTTTTCTAGCTGAACCTCTATAATGGTGCTATGAGTCATGGATCTTAACCAAAGCCTCATCTTTCTCAGCACCTCTTCTTTTGTCCCACCCGTCAACCTGCTAGATCATCCTGCACTTACCATTCAGGACCACCTTATGTGATTCTGACAAATGATCTCAGCCTTTTCCCAGACTTCTGATGATTTCAAATGGCTTTCCCCCCTTGCCTGTTGTTATGGGCTGAATTGTAGTTTCCTGAAATTCACATGTTGAAGCCCATCCTCCAGTATCTCATAGTACGACTATTCGAAGATAGGGACTTTAACTTAAAATGAGACCTTTAGGGTGGGACAAAAGAGGAAATCCTAAGAAGAGGAAATTTGAGTTGAGGACAGGTGGGGAGAACTAGAAAGGGATATGTCTGTTACTTATCTAGTACTACATTTAAGAATAATGAAATAAATAAGGCTTCTGTCATAGGCAATTTTTATAAATTTAATCCACTTAGTATAGGTTTTATTTTTGGCTGTTACTCCTTCTCTGATTGTTGCTATCCCTCGTGTGGCAGCCTTCCAAATGCTGGCTCTTTGGTAAGGTGTATGAATAAGTTCTTGGGGGTCCTGTGGCCTAGGAGGTCTCTTCAGTTACACAGATTACTTTAAGTGGGAATTTCACTCCAACTCTCTCTTCCAAACTCCCCTCAGTTCTCACTGGAATGGTAAGTCCACAGTCTTATTTCAGGTGTTCGCTCTTGGTAAGGCACTGGCAAGAAGGCTCAAGGCCAACTACTTCCAGCAATACCTACTGGACCGCATTTTTCTTTGACTTAAATCTTGAGAAAACAGATGCTTCACCACCCTCCTCTATTTCCTCCTCTTTCTTTTTTTTCAGAGATAAGGTCTTGTTCTGTCACTCGGGCTGGAGTGCAGTGATGTGATCATAGCATAGTACAGCCTTGAACTCCAAGTATCAATTTTCCTGCCTCAGCCTCCTGAAGAGCTAGTGCTACAGGTGCACACTGCCACACTCAGCAAATTTTTAAAAAGTTTTTTGTAGAAACAGTCTTGCTGTGTTCCCCGTCCTGCTTTCAAGCTTCTGTCCTCAAGTGATTCTCCTGCCTCAGCCTCCTGAGTAGCTGAGGTGGCAGCTGTGAGCCACTGCACCTGGCACTCCCCATTGATAATTCCTTCAAACTTTCTTTTATCCTGCAAATAGCTGCTGTTTCCTGGGCTGGTGCCTTCAGTTTTTGCAAGTGATTGTCTAAAATTCTCTTCACTGGACACAGTGGCTCAAGCCTATAATCCCATGACTTTGGGAGAGAAAAATAAAATTGTCTTGCCTTGAGGGTGTTGGGAAATAGTACTCCTCATAACTTAGACAAATTCATTTTTAGAATGAATTTGGACAGTTCATTCTCTCTTTCTCTTTCTGTCTCTGTCTCCTCATTCCTTCCCTTCCCTGATCCATCCATACACATTTCAGCTTATGTGGACTGTGTGGTGGGAGTAAAGTGGAACAAGGAGTGGTGAACTGTAGTCATTTCAGGGTGGTACTGTCTCTTCGTGAACAGCAAAGGATATTCATACCCAATGTGTTTTTGATTTTCTTTAGAAAGTGGGATACTTGTCTTCAGCCTTTGGGCAACAGAAAAAGGTCCGGTTAACATCCTGTTATGTGAATATATCATATCTTTCTGTATAAAGCTTTTTTTTTTTTTTTTTGAGTTGGAGTCTCACTCTGTCGCCCAGACTGCAGTGCAGTGGCCTCTCCCGGCCACCGCAGCCTCGACCTGCTGGGCTCCAGCGATCCCTCCACCTCAGCCTTCCCTGTAGCCGGAATTACAGGCGCGCGCTACCACGCCCGGCTGATTTTTTGATTTATTGTAGAGATGAGGTCTCGCTGCCCAGGCAGGCCTCGAACCTGCAGGCTCAGGCAATCACTCACCTCAGCCTCCCAAAGTCGCGGGATTACAGGCTGAGCCACTGAGCCCGGCTTAAAACTTTTTTTCATTCTATTTAGTACATGTTTTCCCAAAATTTAGAAAAATAAGTTTTTTGACCTATAGTAACTTCAGTATAATCAGTGGTAGTTGAATATTTGGAAAGTAAGTTTAAGAATGAAAAGTTAAGAATGGGCAACTTTAGGATACAACTACAGATCTTGGAAAATCTTCTCTATTTTTATACCATCTTTAAGAAGCCTTATAAGTAACACATTTTTTTTTTTTTTTGAGTTGGAGTCTCACTCTGTCGCCCAGACTGGAGTGCAGTGTCCGCTCCCGGCCACCACAGCCTCGACCTGCTGGGCTCCAGCGATCCTTCTGCCTCAGCCTTCCAAGTAGCCGGAGTTACAGGCATGCGCTACCACGCCCGGCTGATTTTTTTTATTTATTGTAGAGATGAGGTCTTCCTGCCCAGGCGGGTCTTGAACCCGCGGGCTCAGGCAATCCACTCACCTCAGCCTCCCAAAGGCGCGGGATTACAGGCTGAGCCACCGAGCCCGGTTAGTAACACATTTAAAATGGATAATAAGTGGATCTTAAAAAGAACTTTGAAACAACCTGTCTTCAGTCTCAAAGAAGTTCAGTAGGACCTTTGTTGACATGCACTATTAACATGTTTTGAGAGTACTTTCTCAGAACATATAAAGCCATTCTACACTCTAGAATGTCTTAATTAGTACATTTGTTCAAACTTAGTTAAGTAAAAATATGGCATATATTTAAAAAGTAACACATTAGGAAGTACCAACAATGAAGACTTATCGTTGACTCTAAATTTCCGTACCAGTTATTATTACAAGTGTCCTAAAAACTTATAGAACAAGAAATGAGATGGAAAATTAAATTTTTAAATTTGAAAGTTTGAAAAATTTTTAAGAATTGTGTGGAAATGGGTGCCTAATTGCTAAAAGAATAGAATAAGAGAAAAATAATTTCTGTCTAGCCTTCATGGAACAATAAATTATAACTTTACATAGTATAGATGAACTTGATTATAACATTATAGACTGCAATAGATTATTAATCTAGATTTATGGAGAAAATTTATTATTGAATCTTTTAACTTACTCTTTCACAACTGTTCTTTTTTGATTTTTAAAAATTCGTTTATACTTTATTTGATACCAACTACATGTTAGATGCTATTAAATACTTTGGGACTTAAAAGGATGTACAAAACATGGTTCTTCTCTCAAAGTGCTTCTGGATTGGTAGGGGGGTGTCAGACTTGTACATACCTAACAGGAGTATGACAGAAACCAGTAAGTGCCACAAGAGGATCAGTCCAGAAATTCAGAGAGAAGAAACTTCTTCCAGCAAGGAAACCAAAAGAGGACTGTCTTAGAGGGGTGGAATTTGACCTGTCTCTTAAAGGTAGATAAAATTTACACATCTTGTGATTAGGAGAATTAGCATTCCAAGTGGAGGGAGTATTGTAAGTAAACATGTTAATATAAAGGAGGGAGTAAATGGGCTAAGATAAAATGGTCATAGCTCAGTTTAATGGGTGCATAAGGTAACCAAAGATGGTAGTGGAACATATAGCTGAGCAGGTAGGTTGTGACAATATAATGGAATATATATGTGAAGACATGGAAGGGCCACTAATTCCAAGCTAAGAAATTTAGACCTTGGGATAGACTAGGTAAAAGAAGAGTGGAAGGTTTTTGGTCAGGAGAAGGGAGAACAATTACTCTCCTCGTTCCAAATAGTCATTGGGCAAACTGACAGATGGTATGGAGGTAGGGTAGAAACTTGAAGGAAAAGGAACCCTTGGAATGGGATATTGACATTGTGACTAAAAGAGAGGGTACTTGAGGGAGGAAAGTCTCAGAATACAAAAGATGAGATAGTAACAGAAGCCCAAGATAGAAGTGGTAACCAGACTCAAACCCATGAATGTTGGAATCAATAAATGATAGGAATGGGGATGGTGGTATTTAAGTGTATTCATCCTAGTTAGCCTTAATATTTTAAAATGAGATTAGAGATTTGGGCATCTGTGGAGAACAAGGATGAGAATGAAATGGCTCACCATGACATTTAGACTAGGTGGAGGGAAGGGAAGACAGAAGGTATGTATTGGTTGTGAGATTAGAGAGTCTATGGACGAGCCAGAGATTACTGAGGATGAAGGGAAGTGAGAGAACACAGTAATTTAAAAGGCAGGAATGTTGGGGAGTAGAGAAAAAATGTGTGAAACATCCTGGATCAGATGGACCTGGGTTCACACCGACCCTGACTCCTCACCTAGGGTGTTTGCGAACCTGACAAGTCACTAACTCTGTTTGCTCATCTGCAAAATGATGACATTGCCCACTGTATAGCATTATTGAGATTTTATACACCCTCACCTCCATCCGCCCCCACCTCTCACACATATAAAGTGTTCAACAAATAGTTTTGTTTTGTTTTTCAGAGCATTTCTCTTAGCATTTGAGAATTTGGCAGCCATCCCAACAGAGATGATGAGATTCTAATCTTAAGCAGCTAAAGAGCTAGCCTTGTAGTTACAGATGGTAAGAGGGTGTAGTTTCCTGGGTTTTACTGAACAACAATAGGTGGATGACTCTTTCCCTGCACTGCTAAATAGGGCTAAAAAGTTTTAACAAGTTCAGCTATTTTTATCAATGTAAACTTTAATCAAACAAAGCCACCTGTGGGATGAAGGAAGTTCCTTGCAAAGTTGGTACTGAAAATCAATCAATCATTCCAGATTTAGTTAGCTTAACCCCCAACTAAAAATAAAATCTACTTTCAACAGCAACAATAATAGTTAAAACAAAGCTTGCTAGAAAAGATTTTAGAGCCCTAATCTTTATACAGCACAAGTCACGGCAGGTAATAAAATCAAAATGCTTTAAGAATTACAATGGAATTGTACCAGTTGTGTTCAAGCCCCTCAAGCAAAAGCAAATGGAAACACAAGTCTGGACACCAGTGACCCACAGATAGATGTACTTTTAATAATTAGAAAATTAGTTAGCGCATTACTATGCCCTTTGTGTGAGAGAAAGCATTCTTTATACAATGATTTTCACTTAACTGTATACAATAGTTTAAGATAATGTACAAGATATATTTGACACAAATTAAGTGTTAGATGTTCACAATCATAAAATGAATTTTGTAGCCTTTGAGATCTTTAAGAGGTTTTCAGCTGTTAGTGAAGCTAAGGCACTACATATCCCTCCCCACCGACGATATGGATTTGTGTCATTTAAACTGAAGAAGTTGATTTTGTGTGATGGTAGGTATGTCTGAAAAGGCATCTTTGAGTGGTATCCAACTTGGCACTTGCAAAAGGAAAGCATTCTTCAAACCAAAGCACATCTTCCAAATAAAGCATAAGCAATGTTTAACGTGATTTCTTACAAAAGCTTGTGGGGTTTTTTGTTTTGTTTTGGGGGTTTTTTTGCATTCTTTCCCACCACAAGTTGAGGAACTATACCAGTGGGTTAAATCCTATCTGTGCCTGCTATTTTTTAAAAATAAAGTTGTACCGGAACACAGACATGCCTATTTGCTTACTTGGTATCCATGGCTGCTTTTTTACTACAGTGACAGAGTTGAGTAGTTGCAACAGGGATTATATGGCTTAAAATGTCTATTATCTATCTGATCCTTCACAGAAAATGTTTACTGACCCCTGACTAATTAGATGACAATTTGTCCTTTGGGGCACAGCCATGTTACAGAAGCGTGACCTCCAGGAAAGGATCTGGTGAGACTCACTGAATACTACAGGCAAGTCAAAGGGGGAAAGGCTGACAACAGGTATTGTCCTGGTGCCTGGTGTCCAGGCACACTCAGTGAGTGCTTCATCCATCTGTCCAGTGCATCCTGGGGTTTGCTTTGCCTATTGGGTAGAAAGAGCAGACTCCTTTGAAAGCAGCTTTACTGTGTTCAAAGTTCTCAAAGGCAGTAAGGGACATTTTCATTCAGATTTGCCCAGAGGAACAGGACATACCTTACCCATACTTTGTTTTTAATATGAATTGAATAATCAAAATAGTTATAAGTGATAATGCATTTTCTTTAAAAAAAAAAATAGCCTAATTGCTTACTATTAAATGGATCATTGGAATTTTCACATTGTAACACTAGCTGGAGGCTTTTGTGTTTAATCATTGAAAACCACATTAGACCCATTTTTCATTTCAGCCATTTATCATGTGCCCTCTGTATATCAAGAGGGATGCCAGATGCAGGGAGTCACAGGAAGCTTTTTCATCTCATTTTTGTAGACAACTACTTCTCCCGCCATATCCCTGCTTTCCCCAGAGCAGGATTGGCAGACCCCTGGCTGTAACAGCAAGAGCTTCACCACACAATTTTGAGAGACAGAAAGATGTGAAGTCACCACTCATGCAGGGAAAGGTATCTGTAAAATTGTGGAGATTCCAGTGGTGAGCTCTGATGCCAAGGTCATTGATCCTCTTCAAAGAAATCTTAGGAGAAGGAAACAGCAGTAAGTAGCTGTAGGGGATGAAATAAGCTACTTGGGTTTGTGTTTGACCTCACAACAGTGGTGTTTTTTTTTGTTTTTTTTTTACTTCAGCTTTATTTCTTATTATTATTTTATATTTTATTTGACCCTCACAACTATGTTTAATGAAGAATTTAGTGACACACCAGGTGAGTTCTATGGTACACACCTGTGAGCTTCAGCCATTAGGTATTTCTCTTATGTTGTTGGTTCTTGGGAATGAAAGTAAACACAAAGTACAAATCCTTGGGTGTACGACCCACCCCCACTTCCTTCTGTGGATATATTAATGATAAATGAGCAGTGGAGTGGAGTAAGGATTATATTAGGGGAGAAAAGAGGATTCTGGCAGAAATGAGACCAGAGGGTCCTTCTGCATCTGCCAGAATATTTTCAGAACGTCCTAAATCAGACTCTTGCATAGAGGGTGTGTGCAGTTTATATTTTCATGCTCTGTGGATTAACTTCACAATCAGTATGTTATATTTTAGTAACTTTCTCTAGAAGTTAGAACATTGTTAACATTTCACCAAGTCTAGAATACTACAAAGTATTTTGATCCTTTTAACATAGTCCAGACACAAGAAGCCAGACTGTATTTTAGGTGTCGACAGAACTATTTGTTTAGCAAATTCAGGTGAGTTTGTGGTCATAAAAGTGATAATGAAATACCAATTTCATTTCCTCATATACTTCTTTGCAAATGTAAGACAAAGCAGAGTTTTATAATAGTTTAATAACTTGTGTAACAACTGCAGTTTTGATGTATCTCAAAAGTGGAATCTTAAATTATAAAGGATTTTGTGTGCTTGAAATCCTAGGAAAAGAAAGAAAAAAAATTTAATTAATTCATAATTAAAGAAATGGAAATCTTATGAATATCAAGTTACATTTACTGTTAAGAATCTTATAGATACAAATCAGCATATACTGGGGGTGCCAAAAAAAAAATATTCACATTTTAAAGAGATGTTATCTATGTATCACTTTTCAAAGTTGAATTGAATTATGGTAGCAATGGGTAGTATGTAGTTTGCTCAAAAGATGGTGTTCATCAAATCAATGCTAGCGTCACTGTGACAGGCAGGACAGTCAAAGAAAATGGCAGAAGCACGGTTGTCATTAGAGACGTGCAAGACCATTTTGAAGTGGTATTTGAAATTCGAGAATGTTGTGGAAGTACGACAGTAGAGGTTGAGGCTGTGGTAGCCATGAGGTTGCAGTAGCTGTGATTGTGCCACCGCACTCCAGCCTGGGAGACAGAGTGAGGCTCTGACTCAAAAAAAATAAAAAGTAAAGACTCACAATGTCCATACAATTGCTTCATTTCTCTGCTCTATCTTCTAAACACATAGCTCTATAACTATGCTTTAAAAATACTCACATTTTCACTCATTGTAGTAGCTTTAGATGAAGAACTACTCTTCCTGTTTGTGGAACATAAAAGACAATATTTACTACATTATCACTTTCAATTCTGAAACATAACCTCTTTTGTTAATCTCACTTCCATATATTTTCTCAGTAAGAACATAAACATTGATCTTAGCCAGGTAGAAAAAAGCCAACAATCCTAAGCGAATTTCTTGTACTTATAGACTTTATTCACACAGAAAACCATGCAACAAAATATCAATGTGTATGAAGTCCTGTGCATCTAAATACAGCCCAGGGGCAGTATACTAAAAATCTGTTGTGAAATTCACAAACCAGAGACTTATTATCTTTGAACTCAACATATTAACATTTTGAAAGCTTGACTATTAAAATCTCAAAATTCACTTCTTTTTCTTTTCTTTTTTTTGAGTTGGAGTCTCACTCTGTCGCCCAGACTGAAGTATGGTGACTGTCCCTGGCCACCGCGGCCTTGACCTGCTGGGCTCCGGTGATCCTTCCACCTCAGTCTTCCAAGTAACTGGAACTACAGGCGTGCACTACCACACCCGGCTACTTTTTTTGATTTATTGTGGAGATGAGGTCTCGCCAAGTTGTCCAGGCGGGTCTCGAACCTGCGGGCTCAGGCAATTCACTCACCTCAGCCTCCCAAGGCACGGGATTACAGGCTGAGCCACCGAGCCCGGCCACATTTTTTTCTAAGTAAAGAAAGTTTTACATGGTGACTAGGGTTCCAGTCATCCATTTCATCATTTAACACATTTTGAAAGCCATAGATTTAGCAAATGGGAGGAAATACGTCTAGGAATGAAGTTGCTCACTCCAAGATTACTACCTGGTTTGATAGAGATACTGACGGAAGAAAGAATAACCTCCCTCACTGCAGCAATGCCAACTTTTCTACCAATGTAAGATGATACCTCTCCTCTGTTCAAATCCCTGCAATTACTCTCCATGTTACTCCATTAGCAGAAGTCCTCAAAATGGCCTAGAGGCTCAGGGTGAGGGGTGGCGACACATTCAGGCTGCCCTCCTCTTTTGAACTCAGCCCCTTTGCTACTGCTAGTCCTGATTACTTTAACTTCAACTTGGACTTGTTCTAGGATATTATGATACAGAGACTAGGGCTGAGCCAGTGTCTGGGAACATGAAATCAATAGCAGCAAAGTCTCCCTAGGACTCTGGAGTTGGCAAACTACCTGAAGCCATGGCAACTTGAAGTAAAGGGAAGAAGGACCACAGACCCAGAGGTGGGTCTGTCATGTCCATATGTACAAGAAGGACGGTCACAAGAAAAGTTCCTACACACCAGGGGAGGTTTGGGGAATCTCACCCCGATTTCCATACACCAATGACTCCTACATTTCCAGTTATTTCCCCCAACTCCAGATTTGTATATCCAGTTACTTACTGATTCTCTCTACTTGGAATCTAATAATCATATCAAATATTAAAATTCCAAACACTCCAGACCGCTCCACCTATCCCTACCTCCACCACTTCCAAACTCTCTCCTATAATCTTCCACACTTCCATAAATGATAACTCCATCCTTCTTATAACCTTGAATTCATCTTCCTCTTCTGTTTCTTTCACAACCCACATCCAATAGATCAACAAGTTAAAAAACAAACAAACGACAATTCCAGCATCCTATCACTTCTTAGTATCTGCTACACCACCACTGGGTACCAGTCACCATTCTCTCTTGCCTCAATTATTGCAGTAGTTTCCTAACTGATATCCCTGCTTCCAGCTTTTGTCACCTTATGGTTCATTCTTACAGAGCAGCTAGCTTGAGCTTTTAGGAATTCAGTAAGATGATGATACTCCTCCACTCAAAGCCCCCCAGGACTGCCTATCTCACTCAGAACCAAAGCCAAATTCCTCACAACTGCCTAGAAGGGACTCCATGCACTCTGCCCTCCACTACTTTTGTGCATTCATTTCCTCTGTTTCCTTCACTCTGTTCCTACCACACCTGCCCCTTCACGTTCCTCAGGTATTCTAGGCATGACCAGCCTCAAGATCCTTCCATCTGTTCTTTTCCCTCTGCCTGAACATGCATGGATACCTACATGACTCACCTCCTTGTCCTCTTCAATCTTTCTCAAAAATCACTCCAGGAGTGAGACCCACCCTGACCGCCCCATCTGAAACAACAATCTATTCCAACCTGTGTATTCTGTTCTCTTATCTGCTTTATTTTTCTCCGTAATGCTTATCACCATCTGATATACCATGTGGTACACATATTTGTTTACTTTATGCTTTTCTCTACTAGAACATAAGCTCTATAAGGCAAGGTTTTGTGGGGTTTGAGGGCCTGTTTTGTGTATTGCTGTATGGCCAGTCCCTAGAACAGTGTTGCACACAAAATTGGTATTCAGTTAATGCTTAAAAAAATAACTGGTTTTTTTTGTTGTTTTTTGGTTTTTTTTTTTGAGTTGGAGTCTCACTCAGTCACCCAGACTGGAGTGCAGTGGCCGCTCCCGGCCACCACAGCCTCGACCTGCTGGGCTCCGGCGATCCTTCCGCCTCAGCCTTCCAAGTAGCTGGAACTACAGGCGTGCACTACCATGCCTGGCTAATTTTTTAATTTATTGTAGAGATGAGGTCTCGCCTGCCCAGGCGGGTCTCGAACCCGTGGGCTCAGGCAATCCACTCACCTCAGTCTCCCAAAGGCGCGGGATTACAGGCTGAGCCACCGAGCCCGGCTAAAAAAATAACTGTTAAGAAAAACTTTACTTAGAAATTTTTAATGTAGCAAAATAAACAAATATGTTTTTTAAAGTAGTATAATAGTATGCCTACTAAGTCAAATTAGAGACCATATTTCCTCTCTAGGTTATCATCATTCTCTAGGTAATATCACTTTCAAGTAGGTATGAGGTATGAGGTGATATTTCTTGATGAACTTAAGTAATTTCCCATGGGATTAAACCTACACAAATAACTCAACTTCCAACTTTTGACTTTAAACAGACGATTAATAGAAAATTAGTTGATAAAGGGGAAAGTCATGCATTGTAAGAAAGTATACTTACTGGAAGAAGATTTCTTCTACAAAAGAATAAGTATATATTGTTAATGCAAGGGTTAATATGGTATAAAACAGATTCATATTAAAATGAGTTCTGGCTTAATTTCTTTTTATTAATTTTGATTCTCAGTCACTGACACATGTACTTTCTAAATTAAGGGTTGGCAGACTTTCCCTATAAAGGCCATACAGCAAATATTTTAGGCTTTGAGACCAAGAGGCAAAATTAAGGATATGATGTAGGTACTTATACAACAAGAGAGAAAACATATTTTCAAAAATTTGTATCAATGAAATTCAAAATATATAATCATTATCATTAATGTCCTGTAATACAAGCTTACTAGTTAGAAGAATGAAATTATTTTTTGGTGGGGATAACATTTCTCTTAACTGAGGTTCAAAGTTTGTTGCTTCATATCATCAGATAGCTTGTAAATTGTTATTTGTAAAAGCCATTTTCAGCTCACGGGCCATAGAAAAACAGGTGGGGAATGGAGGGCAGATTTGGTCCACAGGTCGTAGTTTGCCAACCCCTAAACTCCAGATGAAAATGGAAGTAGCATTCTTAGCTAATGAACTCCTAATAGCAACTCTTTAATTAATTTAGTATTTTAAGATAAATTTGCTTACCAACTCCTCATTAAAAATACTCAGGTATTCTTTGTAAACATACATAAGGATGACAGGAATTTTGACTAAGTAATCTTATTTGTCTGCACTTTCACTGGTGACCAGCAGGGGACACAGCTGGATTTCATTCATAAAATTACATTACAGTGGACTAAAGTGAAACATTATATGCAAGAGTAAGTATTAATTCACAGAGCAATTATTCTTAATTATAGGGAATACCCTTGAATCCATGTCCATGGAAACATTTTATGACACATAATACCAACTGAAACGTATTAGCAGAAACTCCTTTTAAATTTGTTTTATTGTGGTATAAAATTTAAAGAATCTAAATTCCAAAATTAATATTCACAGTAAAACAATGGATCTTAAACTTGCTCATGCTATACATTTGCTTATTATTCCACTGAAAAATTCCACTTTATACACTACTGACAGTAGACCTGATGGAGTTCTGCATTTTCTGAGTTCTCAGATAATTTTAAAGACAGAGTGAAGAAATGAATAAAGGAATAAAACATTATTTTTCAATCTCACCCATTTACATAAAACTTATTGCATCATCAGATGGGAGCTTGAAGTTACCAAAAATCTAAACTTGAAGAACTAAAAACCTTGTACTGAAGCAGTTCTAATAAATACAACAGGTTTCCAAAGTTTTGATTGAACAATTTTCTACAAAATACAGTTGTCCCAAATTTGACATTCAACATTTCACTACTCTATACTTATAAAAAATTTCATTCATTTATTTAAATGAAATTTCTTATAAAACTAGAAATCAATTTATTTTGAAATATACAATTTCTAATTTAAAATAAATCTTAAAAGCATGTAAATATACTATAAATATCCATTCACATCAAATATGTCTCTTTCACTGCATTGTGCCACTCCAAGGATGCCTCTCACATTTTCTCTGGATTTCCCTGGGATTTTGCAAGGAGATAGTTCTACCTTTTCTCCCTAGATTTGCCAAAGGACTTCATAACCCATCTGCATGTCATGTTGGACACAGAAACTGCAGAAAAATCAGTGAGAAAAAGTCTCCACCATTTCTCCTAGAACTTCTTAGGAGAAACAGTGCCTCATGAGAAAACTCTGTATCCACAGGAAATTATCTATCAAAGAAGGATGACGTTCACTTACTTGAAAAGTAGCCTCTCCTCTGAGCATAGCACACACCAAGGCCACAAATGGAAATCACTAAGGCCACAACTACTACAGCTGCTATGATGCCACTTATATTGAGGTCATCTGAAATGTGAAATAAACCATGCATAAGTTCACATTCAACAGATGGACAAATGCAGCCATTAAATGGAAAAGGTTCAAGAAAGTTCCCCTTTGCAGGTATACCAGAAAGCAGTTTTGTGCTTTTGAAGCCTGTTCAACTAACTTGCTTGACATGGCTCAAAACTATTTAAAAATACTAACAGAACTTAAGTTTTGCAAGAATATTAAATTTTTAAAAGTTCTGTGAACCACCAATAAGATGCATAGTAGTAGTATTCTCTTGCATTCATTTGGAGACATATAATAATTCACAGGATTAAATATCAGGTTGGAAGCAATCTTTTTATGTTCTAAAAGTTCAAGTGTTCTACTGCCACCGCACCCCAAATTTTACTTGAAATTATTTTATATCATCATCTGTGTCAGTTTCACAAATAATGAAAATCTCAGTCTCATGATGGGGCCAGGTGTGGTAGCTTGTGCCTGTAATCCCAGCCACTCAGGAGGCTGAAGTAGGAGGACAGCTTCAGGTCAGGAGTTCAAGATCAGCCTGGACAACATAGCAAGATCCTGTCTTAAAAAAAAAGCTAGCCAGATGTGATGGCACATGCCTGTAGTGCCAGATGCTTGAGAGACTAAGGAGGGAGGATCACTTGAGCCCAGGAGTTTGAGGCTGCAGTGAACTATGCAGTGAACTATGCCTAAGAAAACAGAGTGAGACCCTGCCTCAGGAAAAAAAAAAAAGCATTTATATGGGTGTGTGTGTGTACATATGTATATTTGACCATATAGTGCCACTAAACTGTCATCCATTGACTGAAAATGAATTAAACTCCCCGAGGGTTTTCCTGTGGGTATTAAGTCATCTATTCTCTAATCTAATGTAACTGTATTTTTTGAACCCATTTGGAAATGACTACTAGTGAGAGGTTTTTTATGTCCTTTCTTTTGGATAGATTCTGTTGCCCAATAATTAGATTATGACCCCTCTAAGCTTAAAAGTCTGCAAATTGAGAACTATATTAACAATACCTTCATTCAAGTCATTAATAAAACAATGAGCATGATTTCGTTTGGGAAGGAACTATGTAGAAGCAGACACCTCCCTCCACACAACACAATTTATTAGTGTGCTCAGAGTATGGGGTTGAACTACATCTGGATCCATCTAGACATTATTTGGATCACAACTATCCATCTAGTCTACAAGGATTTCATGAGCCACACTACTCAGTCATTTGGATACTTCTCATGTATTTATTAAAGGAGCAACCCTTTAAAGGGGTCTCATTTTTAAAAGTAAGTATTAATTAGCATATGATTAAATGACACGGAGAACATATTAGGTAGCACTTTTATCAACAGTAATTTTAAATATTTTAAAGCAGTGCACATTTTGGGAAAGATCTTTTTAGAAATACTATTTAAGTGTATCTCCTTATTCTTTCCTAATACCAAGAAATATTAATTAATATTACTTCTAAAATATTAATTGACTTTTTAGCAAAAAGAAATATGATACATTTTTGGAAAGGTTGAGTAATTTGACCAGAGTAGAAAACAGTAATTATTGCTTGGGATAAATTCAGTTTGCTTGAGTATTGACAGGTCAATGAGATTCAGTTATTTATCCAAGTAAATCTTAGACAAAAAAGAACAGAAAGGGGAAAAAATTCACAGCAATTATAATCAAAGGCAAAATTAAATTCATAACTAAAACTCCTGAGAACCAAACTGTGGCTTCTATTTTCCTTGTAGTAATTTGACATTGATGAAAGGTTCAAACTGAGGGTTATTATCTGACAAAAAACTGTCCTGTAGTTTGTCAATGAAATTTGACATCTATGAGGGATTCACCCTAAAGGCAAATTCTGGCAAAAAACAAACAAACAAACAAACAAACAAAAAACTTGTGTTAAGTCATGGTTTGAATTTCCTTCAATAAAATGGAAGGCAGAAGCATAGTAAGTTAGAGGTAAGCTAACTTCTTACAACTTGTTTGCCATTTTCTGTGAGAGAATGAACAAGTTCATACAACCATATTATAATGCCTCAGTGAAGAAAACATTTAACAATAAGTATGAAAATATTTTGTGGATTTTTTTTGGGGGGGGAAGAGGCCTCCATAAAAGGGAGATATCATTTCTCTGAAAGAAAGGGAAGTAGACTGCTAAACGTCTCACTCAGTGTGAGTGTAATCTGCTGGGGTTATATACAATGGGGCAGGCCTAGAAATAATCACCAGATTCATGCTTTGCTTTCTTTCTATACTTCAAAATTTTTTTTTAGTTAACAGAGTCTAGTTTGGGTTACAAGTTGTTAGTGAAAATTCACAAAGAAGCTGAATTCATGAATTTGTATATTTCAAAAGATATAAATTCCAAAACAATACATGAAACACCTAGGATCAATGAGTGAGCATTAAACACACTAATTTCAACTTTTAAGCTAACTTATACCTAGAAAGAGTAGATATGTGTAAATCGTGTTCAAATTAAAGTGGTTCTAATAGGGAAATCAGCTTTTAAATTTTATTTGTTATTGCGTACTAAGAAATATCTGTTATTGTGTGCTAGGAAAACGTAGCTAATGACTGCATGACTACGCAAATATTTTTCTTTTCTTTTTATAGATCCTAGATCTCACTACGTTGCCCAGCCTGGTCTTGAACTCCTCGTTTCAAGTGATCCTCACGCCTCAGCCTCCCAAAGTGCTGGAATTATAGGCATGAGCCACTGTGCCTGGCCAGATATTTCTTAAGATGAGGCTAAAGTAGGCATTTAAATCAAACAGGACCATTTAAATGGAAGGAAAAATAGGTTAGGCTCGGTGGAGTTGCTACCATGGCCAGATGTGGTCATGCATCCACTGTGGCTCTCTTTGTTCCGTCATCCTGCTCTCCTGGATACCCCAGGAAGGTCCACAAGCAGATATACTACTTGGACAAGTACTTCGACAAGCACGACGAGTACCAGCATGTCATATTACCCAGGTAACTTTCCAAACAAGTAACTAAAGCCCATCTGATGTCTAAAGAGGAGTGGAGGAGACTTGGTGTCCACAGAGTCGAGACTGGGTTCACTGCATGATTCATGAACCAGAACCACATATTCTTCTCTTTAGATGACTTCTTCCAACAGGCCAACAAAAATGAAGTGTATCTGGGGATGGTCGATTAAATATTTTTCAAATGTAATGCATACGTGTATATAAGGTAGTACTCAGGAGATATTTGAAAAATGGTTAAATCATGCATCCTACCTGTGCGGAGCTGCATTCTCCACAGATACAGAGCTCAGCTACATGCAACTTATGAAGTCAGTTACCATAAGGGGATTCAGATACAATGTTCTTCTAGTCAGTTTTTCTCTTTTTTTTTTTTTGAGTTGGGATCTCACTCTGTCACCCAGACTGGAGTGCGGTGGCCACTCCCAGCCACCGTAGCCTTGACCTGCTGGGCTCCAGCGATCCTTCGGCCTCAGCCTTTCAAGTAGCTGGAACTACAGGCGCTCGCTACCACACCTAGCTAATTTTTGATTTATTGTAGAGATGAGGTCTCACCAAGTTGCCCAGGCGGGTCTCGAACCCGCGGGCTCAGGCAATCCACGCACCTCAGCCTCCCAAAGCGCTGGGATTACAGGCTTAGCCACCAAGCCTGGCTAGTTTTTCTCTTAATAGAAGTGCCTGTTTGACTTTTCCTGTTTACTTTTGTATTTATGAATTTATTTGCCTGTCACTTTTGTAAATAAAGTTTATATGTTGCATTAAAAAAATAAATGAAAGGGAAAATAAATATAAGTAGTACAAGAAATACAATATTGTGGTAAAAACCATGAAAACAGTATATGAATGAGTGAAGTTAGAAAAACACTTCATTACTGCATTAATTTTTCAACATGCTATGAGGAATTTTGTAAATAATTTTAAAGCAGCATTGAATGAGATTTTTGAAAATTTAAATAACTGCAATATTTCACTCTAGATGTCAACACTTGAGTGAGTTTGGTGGATATTATCAGTGATATAAATCCCTGAATTTTTCATAAAATGATGAGATATTTAAACTCCTGGACCCTCAGCAATTTATAGACTACAAAACATTTAACTTTTGCTTGAGAGAAAGTTTACTCAGAACATATTTTTTTAAATTATTTTAAAAAATTTAAAAAACGTTTGTTAAATATAACACTAAGCATTCTTGTCTTATTTGGGAGAGGAGTTAAAAACAGCATCTTGGCAACATATTATACTAAGCAAATTTTAAACATTTCTTTCTGTGTATCCTTCACATCACTCAGATCTTTTCTACCCCATGCTCCTTCCACCCCCAAATACAGTACTTGCACAGTCTAACAGCAAACCCTCTGTTCCTCCCAATATTTCATGCTTACCTACTTGCATTCGTTTCCCAGGACACCTACGATATCCAATCGAGTTACGGGCTTCACAGGAATATTCTCCAGTGTCCAATTTGGAAACAGTATTAAATTGCTATTTGCAGAGGAAATAAAAATATTTTAAGGCAATAAATCTGTAGGTAGACTTTTCTTTTCTAAATTTTTTTGAAACTCACTCTTTTACCCAGGCTGGAGTACAGTGACACGTTCACGAATCACTGCAGCCTCAACCTTCTGGACTGCAGTGATCCTTCCACCTCAATCTCCTGAGTAGCTGAGACTACAGGTACCTGCCATCATGCCTAGCTTTTTTTTGAGAGAGAAGGTCTCGCTATGTTGCCCAGGCTGGACTTGAACTCCTGGCCTCAGGTGATCCTCCTGCCTCAGCCTCTAAGAGTGCTGGGATTAACAGTATGAGCTACTGTGCCCGACTGTATCTATAAGTAGACTTTTAAAATAAGTCTGTTGAGTTTTAGCATTAAGTTGGTCTTTACTTTTTAATGACTTGGAACTTTATATTTTACTATGGATTTTAAAATCTGTCACAACTTTAAAGAGTAAATAATTTAATTTGACAGAGGAAGACAAATATATATAGGGAAGTTTCTTGCTTACTTTATTTATTTATTTGATACCAAGAAAGCAGTACAGTTAGGAAGGCAGTGACATTTTAAAAAGTTGATAGTAAATGGTAGTATTAAGTAGTCTAGAGATATTCCTAGGAGTCATCATTTTTAATAAAGTCCTCCCTGTTTAATGTACTTTCCTAAGTCACAAGCCAAGTTCACTGCAATAGCAAACAATAGACACTTCCTTTAAAGAGCCAGAGATACTACCAGAAAGTAGCTTAGGACCTAGGAAAATCTGAATTTGTATCATTTACAGGATTAAAAATTCCATCAATTCTAGATTTTTAAAAAATTCTGGCTGGGCTCGGTGGCTCAGCCTGTAATCCCATGCTGTGGGAGGCTGAGGTGAGTGGATTGCCTGATCCCACGGGTTCAAGACCCACCTGGGCAACTTGGCGAGACCTCATCTCTACAATAAATCAAAAAATTAGCTGAGTGTGGTAGTGAGCGCCTGTAGTTCCAGTTACTTGGAAGGCTGAGGCGGAAGGATCGCCAGAGCCCAGTGGATCGAGGCTGCGGTGGCCAGGGCAGCCACTGCACTCCAGTCTGGGCGACAGAGTGAGACTCCAACTCAAAAAAAAAACAATTCTGAAAAGATAAAGTCTCTCAGGAATCATCTCTCATTCTCCCAAAAGTCAAAACACTTATAGAAATTCACCATGAACTCAGGGCCAAGGTCACATCTAAATAATAAGTTAGACTAAAACCCAACATGATCTTCTCGCACACTGTAACTGGTAATAAAAACAGAAGTCATTGGTATCCATACTCTGGAGTCTTTGTTGCTCATTTCTCACATCTTAGTTTAACCCAGGTGAACTCCTTCAACATCACAAGATATTTCAAGAGTTGAGATTAACTGAGGAAAGCAAATCTATATCGTTTCAAACTTACCTTGGGGCTTTTATCACCTGCTCAGAAAAAAAATAAATTTGAAAAGCAAATATAGCCAAGTGTGATAGCAGGCTTTCTGCCCAACTGCTCAGTGTAAAATCACTCAGACCTGCTGACTTTGCTGCTGACTGCTGAGAGAACCAAAGCGTAGCCATGCTCACGGAAGAGCCCCATCCATAGGTCGGCTTTATTACTCAGCCATTTCCTCAATTTGCTTTATTGTTTATCAAAAGATCTAGTTATGAAATCTTTTTTTTTTTTTTTGCTTTTAATTTTTGAGCTGGGGACTCACTCTGTCACCCAGACAGGAGTGTAGTGACACCATCATAGCCCACCACGGTCTCTAACACCTGGGCTTATGCAATCCTTCCTTCTCAGACTCCCAACTAGCTGGGACTACAGGTGCACGCTGCCATTCCTGGCTGATTTTTAAAAATTATTTTTTATTTGAGTAATTATAAATCTTATATGCTTATAGAATGAAGGGATAAAAGGAAGCATTGTGCCCTCCTTTCAAAATTTATTAAAATTGTTATTATTATTACCATGCCTTTGAGATTTTTTTGATAATGACTTTGGTAGTGATTTTGCATTGCTGGAAGGGGAACAATTTTAAAGTGATGTGTAATATTACACTAACTGCAAAACAAAGCTTCAAGCTTAATAACTATTGTAAACTTCCACCTCTAACTTAAGAAGTCACAAATGGAAAAGGTAAAATAATTTTGACTTTTAAATTATTGTTAACTTTAAAGGCCTTATTTATAAGTTGTTATCAGTATTTCTAGAAAGGCCTTTCAATCAGAATATTTTAAAGAAAGAAACAATTAGAATACCTGTACTAATTCTCAAATAATAGATACTCAAGTCACAGAGACAACTGCTGGTGATCTAGAGTCATGGAAATGTTTCATGATACAGACATCCTACCAAGATTGACTACAGTCACTATTTTCACATGGTTAGCATTGGGGTCAGGGTATCCCCAAGCAAGTTTTCAAACATTTCCCTGATTTTGTGCATTGACATCGCACTTAGTAATTTCCCAGGCCAGGAGGTAGCTGTAGTGAACTGTCTGATCCATCCCTGTGAGTCAGGTTTTGCCTGCTTCCAGTCACTGGCACAGACCCTCAGCTTCCTAGTCCTGTGCATTGCCTTCCCATCTCCTGGGGCACTCCTTCCATCACTTCTCAGTGCGGGGACAGCCATCTTTCCTGTGTTCCCCTCCTCTCTCCACTTAGTGAGTGATGGTATCAGTCCTCTATTCCACATCATTTTTCATGCTGATAATTTTATCCAAATGCAAGACAGTTATTAGGTCAATCCTTGAAATGACCTTACCAAAGTTCCAGATTTTGTATTTATGGTGTATGAGCTATTGGTGCTTTGGGAGCCAAGTTTCGGACTTTCTAGCAAACGGATGCCATCCTTAAACCATGTGTACTCGGGAGCTGGATTCCCTTCTTTGTCTTGACACCGTAGCTCAACCACAGTTCCACTCAGAGCAGAAGTGGGCACTTCACATGATGGAACTGCTGGAGCCACTGAATAATGAAAGACAAATGGTATTGGTTATTTCATCACGTATTTGAATAGCCAGGTAAGGACGTACTTATTGGATCCCGTGATAGAGACTGGTTAACTTTTCAACAGACCCATTTCCTTTCTTCATGGGCACCCAGTAGACCCTGTTTGCCAGAAGAGGCCATAAGCTTGAGTACTGGCCAATGGAATGAGGGAGAACATGAGATCTGCCATTTCCAGGCCTGAACCATAACAACTTCCAGCATGATTCTTCAGTTACTCACTCCCTCTGCTCCTTTCTGCTACTAAGTAGGTAACAATACCTGTGGTGACCTCGGAAAGTCATGTATCAAAGATGTCAGAACCATCTCCAATGTATCTCTAATGATTTCAAGAAGTAGAATAATGCAACTCCTCCACTACTCCTGGCCCAACTGTTTAGGTTTTACTTAAGTGAGAAGGAAGCTTTTTTTTTTTTTGAGTTGGGGGAGTCTCACTCTATCACCACAGCCTCAACCTGCTGGGCTTTGGTGATCCTTCCACCTCAGCCTTCCAAGTAGCTGAAACCATAGCTTGTGTTACCATATCCGGCTAATTATTTGATTTATTGCAGAGACGAGGTCTCGCCAAGTTGACCAGGCTGGTCTCAAACCCCTGAGCTCAGGCAACCCTCTCATCTCAGCCTCTGAAAGTGCTGGGATTATAGGGGTAGCCACTGTGCCTAGGCGGAAACTTTTATTATGTTAAGTCACTCACTGAAAGTTCAGGGCTCGTCTGTTATAACAGTAAGTATTACCTTAGCTAATACAACAGCTTTTCTTTATTAGATAAATAATCTCTACTATTTTTCTCATCAACGATTTTGATGTCTATCACCAACTATATTCAAAAGAAGTCAGGCTGGGCAGGGTGGCTCATGCCTGTAGTCCCAACATTTTGGGAGGCCAAGGTGGGAGGACTGCTTGAGCTCAGGAAATTAATACCAGCCTGGGCAACAGGGTGAAAACTTGTCTTTACAAAATTTTTTAAATTAGCTGGGTATGGTGGTGGTGCTTGTAGTCCCACCTACTCGGGAGGCTGAGGTGGGAGGATCACTTAGGCCCAGGAGTTGGAAGCTGAGGTATGCCATGATTGTGCCACTGTACTTCAGTCTGGGCAACCAAGTGCACGAAAGAAAGAGAGAGAGAGAGAGAGAGAAGTTTTCAAGACTCTAAAATAGTGTTAAAAAGAAGAAGGAATCAAGCCTGAGTATGTTTTTCAGGCCCAATACTCAATTAAAATCCCATTCTGTCTAGAACTGGCCAAATTAGAGAATGTCTGCCACAGAAATTAGAGTTATTCTTGTCTCAGGAATTTGGAAAGGAAAACAGACTTTATTAGGTGACCAGGAAAACTCAGAACTGGCTGTGACAGGCAGTATTCTAAAATGGTCCCCCAAATCACCATCCTTGGTGTACATATACTTTTTTTCCCAGTCATTCAATCAAACACTTATCTAGGTAATAATGTGAAGGGATTTTAGAAATGTAGTTTAGATTTCAAATCTATTGTTTTTAAGATAGGGAGATTTAATGAATTTAATGGATGGGTCTGACCTAATCACATGAATCTTTTGTTCTGATTTTTGAATCGAGGTCTCACTCTGTCACCCAGGCTGGAATGCAGTGGCATGATCACATTTTACCACAGCCTCAACCTCTTGGGCTCAGGGAATCCTTTTGCTCCAGTCTCCCAAGTAGATAGGAGTACAGGTGTATGCCACCATGCCTGGCTAATATTTTTATTTTTTGTAGAGACAAAATCTTGCTATGCTGCCCAGGCTGGTCTCAAACTCCTGAACTCAAGCAATCCTCCTGCCTCAACCACCCAAAGTACTTGGACTACAGGTGTAAGCTACCACACCTGGTCTCACATGAGCCTTTAAAAAGCAGAGCATTTTCTCTGGTGGTCACAGAAGGAAAAGTCAGAAATTCAAAGCACAAGAAGACTTCGACATGATTTTGTTGCATTGAAGATGAAGGGGAACAAACAACAAGGAATATCGGTGGCCTCTGGGAGTTGAGTGTGGCTCCCAGCTGAGAGCCAACATGAAAAGGAGTCTCAGTCCTACAACCACAAGGAACTGAAATCTGCCAACACCAAGAATGAGCCTGGAAACTGATTTTCCTCCCAGTCTCTAGATGAGAACTCAGCCCAGTCAACACTTTTATTTTAGTCTTGTAATATCCTAAGCAGACAACCCAGTCTTGTTGTTGGATTTTTCTGCTCTATAGAACTATGAGCTAATAAACAAGTGTTCTTTTGTGCTAAGTTTGTGATAATTTGTTATAAAACAACAGAAAACAAATACACTGGCTGAAACTGCTGCAAGGTTTTGTTTTCTGAATTAAACTTCTATACTAATGCATCACTAGTATTTCAGGAAGAGCCTAGACAGCATAATAAAGGAAGAGGAGCTGTTTTATTCTCTTTACTTGGTAACTTCTACTAACACCAGTGAAGGAGAAGAGATCATGCTCCTCCCCCAACTGCTATTATGAGCTGTTACTATCTCTCAGTGATTCTTACAGCAACTAAGCATACTGGTTTGGGGGCTAACTCCATCTGAATTCAAATATCAATCCAGACACTTTCTAGCTGCATGGGCTTGAAAAATCGTTTAGCTTCCATTTTCTTATCTAGAATAATCAGGTTATCAGCAAAAAAGTAAAATTACACATGTGAAAGGGCCTGACAGATTTTAGCTGCACAATAAATGCTAATTTCCTTTCTTTATCAGATAACTTTGAATCCTGCCTCTGGTCTAGTTGTGTGATATTGCTTTTCTATCACCTCACTAGATACTGTTTTAGACAGTAGGAGAAATAGTACATATGCTGAAAGTAAACTCTTGGGAAAGATGTTCCTATGTACAGTATAGTACCATTAGGAACTATTGCAATCTTTTTTTTTTTTTTTTTAATTTTAAAGATGTAGGGTCCATTTCAGGGTTAGGTATACAAACGGTCATTGTATAGGTAAAGTTTGGGCCTCACTTTGGTCCTCACTTCACCTGGTTTGAGATCAGGTACTGTTATTAATGAAGCGTGCCCCCCCCCTGGCAGTTTCCACTACTGCCAATCCCTTTCTTATAGTTTTATAATAATTGTTCAAGGTCCGCTTATGAGTAAGAACATGTGGTATTCAGTTCTTTGCTTCTGTGATAGATCACTGAGTATTACAGAATCTAAATCCATCCAAGTTGCTGTGAAGTTGATAATTTTGTCCTTCTTTATGGTTGTGTAATATTCCTTTGTGTATATGAACCAATTTTTTTTTTATCCAGTCTCCTTTCGATGGGAAAGGAATTACAGGCATGCGCTACCACACCTGGCTGATTTTTTTTTTTTTTTATTGCAGAGATGAGGTCTCGCTGCCCAGGCGGGTCTCGCTGCCTCAATCTTAAACAAGATATTTTGTGACAATAAATTAGTATTAGTAAAATTTCAGCAACCAGTGAAGTGATGAGGAGAAATGGCCAAGAGCTTGCCAGAAAGGTGGTGCTTGTAGTCTGTGTAAAGTCACTGGTGGGGGCTCCCCACCAGTATGTTCAGAGGCCAGTGCCTCGCTGTCCCCAGGGCTGGGGGCTGGGATGACAGACATTGTCACACGTACACATGCACATCACCTAATACTTCCAGAGTGATTGTGTCCTCTTCCAGGTTCTGGCCTTTCTCAGATGGGGCACTAACTTCACAACGGTATTTCCCAGCATCACTTCTTGTAACATTTTTGATCCGGATACTGAAATCTATCATCTCAGCTCGATCTTTAAAATCACCTTTTGGAAAAAGAAAACACTGGCGTCACTAATAATGCAAGTAGCTTTCTACATAATACCTCCCTCAAGTTATGTCATTTAGTAATCAAAGTGTTTCTTTTCCCATTAAGAAACTTAATTTAAAACCTAAACATTAGATATGGATGTTGTTATTTTAAATTTCATTTCTTAGAAGGATAAATTTTAGAATGTTCAGAAAAGAACATTCAGTTTACCATTCCTATATTTCATTTTAAAGAATTCAACCCAAATGCCTTAGTCCCTTTCCAGTCCCCTTGTAAATTTATTGTCTTAAAAAAATACTGGAGATCCTGGTTTAATTGACCAGAGCAATAACTTTATGTGTAGTGGTTCACACAAACCTGCCACAGAAGAAAAGAGGGAGGGAGGCCTAAAAAAATATTCTTTGAATAGGTTTTTTTTTTTGTCTGTTCTTATTTTTGTTTTTTTTGAGTCAGAGTCTCCGTCACGCAGGCTGGAGTGCAGTGGCATGCTCATGGCTACTGCAACCTCAACCTGCTGGTCTCAGGTGATCCTTCTGCCTCAGCCTTCCAAGTAGCTGGAACTACAGGCATGTGCCACCACACCCGGCTAATTTTTTTTTTATTTATTGTAGAGACAAAGACTTACCAAGTTGTTCAGGCTGGTCTTGAACCCCTGGGCTCAGGCTATCTTTTCGCCTCTGTCTCCCAAAGTGCATGAGCCACTATGCCCGCCTATGGTTAGTTTTTGACAGTAATGTGTACAGAATTTTAAAAAGCATTTTGTCTAATGTACAGGTACTAGAATTGGCAAATGTAAAAAAATCCAGGTGCTATCAGCACCTGGCAACTTGTAGTCTTATCATGACTGTTAAGAACCAGAGGAGATATTTTAAATTTTTTAATAAACTTCAAACTTTTTTTTCACTCAATTCTTTAAAATTAAGATATTATATAGTATTTTGAAATAATAACATGTTTATTAGACATAGTAAATTGTACTTCCAACTTTTAAAATATCAATAATGGAAAATTTTGAGTATATATAAAACTAGAGTAGAGTAAAATGAACCTGAATGGATAATACCATCACCCAGCTGTAACAGTAATAAATGCATGGCCTATCTTTTTTATCTGTACCCCTAAGTACTGGTTCATTTTGAAGCAAAGGAACATCATAACATTTCATCCATCATCATCAATATTTTAAGTTATAAGGTCATCCCATATTCAACAGCAAGAAGAAGGAGTGGAAAGAAATGTATAACAAGCAACAACAAAAAAAAGGAAAGCAAAGAAAGCACTTGATAATGGTCTTGTAATTACCCATCCATAAAATCTTAACTCCCTAAGCTTCTCAGTAGTTGCACATCTTTCAAGATGACCTTAAGGAAACAGGGTGAGAGTATTATTACTGAACAGCAGTGATAATACCTTCTACTCCAACCCACTCATTGTTTCTTCCCTTCTGTCAAGAGCTTGATCTACTGAGTCAGCAAGAGCAATTGCATTTTGCATACTCTGCATATTGTATAACAAAGTTGAGAAACAAAAGGTCCAGGGACTCAATGGGGTTCACCTCTGTGCTCCATCCTCTGGTTTTGTGATTATTGTGTTTTAGGTCTCAGACATGGTTGGTTTCATCTCACACTTACTAAAACACATTTTCAGTCACTGGATATGTCCTGTTCTCATTTATAAATTAAGTGATCCCAGCTGTACTTGGCATTCTCATGTGCACACATCATCAAGTCTACAGCTTCCTACCTTGAAGAGCCTGTTGATAGTAGACAAAGGAGACACTCCGCCCCAGTTTCTTCCACTCCAGTCTGGAGGAAATGGTCCTCTTTGGATTTTTACAGGCTAAAATAACCTCTGGGAACAACAACAAAAAATTTGTTTTTGATAGATCACATTCTTGGGCACAAATTAAGTGTGAACAAATTTCAAAAGATCAAAATAATACCATGCATCTTCTCAGATCACAGTGGTATAAAAATAAATATGGCTTCCAACAAGATTTCCTCAAAACGCACAAAGACATGGACACTCAACAACATGATGCTGAACAACTTCTGTTTCAACACAGAAACCAAGACAGAAATAAAAAAAATTCCTGGAAACAAACAAAAACAAAGATACATCTTATTAGAATCTCTGGGATGCCATGAAAGCAGTGTTAAGAGGAAGATTCATAGCATTACATGCACACATCAAGAAAATAGAAAGATCACAAGTAAACAGTCTAACATCATGCCTAAGGGAGCTGGAAAGGCAAGAACATCTCAATACTAATTTCTGTAGAAAAATCCAAATCACTAAGATGAAGTCACAATTGCAGGATATAGAAAACAAAATTTCATAGAAAGGATCAACAAGACAAAAAGCTAGTTCTTTGAAGGGATAAATAAGATTGATGGACCACTGGCCAAATTGACTTAAAAAAAAAAAAAGGAAAGTAGAAATAAACACATTAGAAATGAAAAAGGTGAAGTCACAACTGACCCTGAAGAAATTCAAAAGATTATCAGAGATTATTATACACATCTTTATGCAAATAAACTAGAAAAATATAAAGAAAATGGGGGACTTTCTGATATCACGCGACCTCCCAAGGTTGAAACAAGAAGAAATTGAAACTCCAAACAGACCAATAACAATCCAGGAAATCAATTCAGTTATAAGAACCCTCCCTGCCAAAAAAAGCCCTGGATCATACGGCTTCTCAGCTGAATTCTACAAGAATATAAGGAGGAGCTGATACCAATCTTATTGAAAGTGTTCCAGGCAATCAAGAATGATGAACTCTCCCCAACTCTTTTTATAAAGCTAATACCATACTGATACCCAAACCTGGCAAAGACCCAGCAAGGAAAGAGAATTACAGGTCAATCTCCTTGATGAACATACATACAAAAATTCTCAACAAGATTCTGGTAAATTGGATCCAACAACACATCTCAGGGATCATTCACCACGATCAGGTGGGCTTCATTCCTGGGATGCAGTCCTGGTTCAGCAGTCACAAGACCATAAATGTGATTCAGCATATTAGCAGAAGTAAAACAAAGAACCACAAGATTATCTCATTAGATACAGAAAAATCATTCAACAAAATCCAGCATCTTTTTTTTGAGTTGGAGTCTCACTCTGTCACCCAGACTGGAGTGCAGTGGCATGCTCCCCGCCACCACAGCTTCGACCTGTTGGGCTCCAGTGATTCTTCCGCCTCAGCCTTCCAAGTAGCTGGAACTACAGGCACGTGCTACCACGCCTGGCTCATTTTTTTGATTTATTGTAGAGATGAGGTCTCATCAACTTGCCCAGGTGGGTCTCGAACCCGCGGGCTCAGGCAATCAAAGCGCTGGATTACAGGCTGAGTCACCGAGCCTGGCTCAGCATCTTTTCTTGATAAAAACCTAGGTATAGAAAGAACATTCCTCAAAACACTAAGAGCCATCTATAATAAACCCACAGCCAACATTTTGCCCAATGGGCAGAATTTGGAAGCATTCTCCCTAAGAATGAAAACAAGAAGACAAGGATGCCCACTTTCACTTCTCTATTCAACATAGTTCTGGAAGTCCTAGCCAGAGCAATAAGCCAAGAGAAGGAAATCAGGGTATCCAAAAGGAAAAGAGGAAGTTAAGCTATCTTTCTGTGCAGACAGTATGATTCTATACCTAGAAAACCCTAGGGAGTCTCTCAGAAGCCTCCTTGCACTGATAAACGCCTTTAGTAAAGTCTTGGGTTAAAAAAAATCAATGTGCAAGAGACAGTTGCATTTTTATACACCAGCAACAAACAGTCAGAGGGCCAAATAAAAAGCACAGTCCCATTCACAATAGCCACACAAAAAAATAAAATATGAAATACCTTGGCATCCACCTAACCAGAGAAGTGAAGGACCTTTACAATGAGAACTACAAAACACTGCTCATGAAAGAAATCAAGAATGACACAAACAAATGGAAAAATATCCCATGCTCATAGATTTGGAAGAATCAATATTATCAAGACATCTACCTACCCAAGGCAATTACAGATTCAATGCAATACCCATCAAATTATCTACATCATTTTTCACAGACCTGGAAATGACAACACAGAAATTCATATGGAAACAAAAAAGAGCATAAATAGCCAAAATAATCTTCAGCAAAAGGAATAAAACAGGAGGTATCACACTTCCAGATTTAAACTTTATTACAAGGCTATAGTAACCAAAGCGGCATGATATTGGTACAGGAATAGGCACACAGACCAATAAAACAGAATAGAGATTCTGGAAGTAAAAACATAGTGTCTCAGCCAACTCATCTTCGATAAAGCCACCAATAACAATCACTGGGGAAGAGATCATATTTAGCAAATGGTGCTGGGAAAACTGGCTGACCACAGGCAGAAAAATGAAACTGGACCCCTGCCTATCACCATATACAAAAATCAACTCAAAATGGATTTAAAGACCTAAATGTAAAACCTCAGACTATAAGAATCCTAGAAGAAAACATAGGAAACATCCCTATGCACATCTGAGTAGGTAACCATTCTTGACCAAGTCCACAAAAGCGAATGCCATAAAAGCTAAGATAGACAAGTGGGATCTCATGAAACTGAAAAGTTTTTACACAGCAAAGAAGCCATCAAGAGAGTAAAGAGACAACCCACAAAACAGGAAAAAATATTTTCAAATTATGCATCCGTCAAAGGCCTAACATCCAGGATCTACAAGGAACTCGAAATAAACGGAAAAAAACAAGCCCATTAGGAAGTAGGCAAAAGACATAATAGATACTGCTCAAAAGAAGACATACAAGCAGCCAACAGACACATGAAAAAATACTCAGCCTCATTAATCATCAGAGAAATGCAAATCAAACAATTAGATACCATCTCACTCTAGTAAGGAGGCCTATCATTAATAAGTCAAAAACAACAGGTGCTGGTACAGATATGGAGAAAAAGGAAAGCTTCTACACTGTTGGTGGGAGTGCAAGCTAGTTCAACCTATATGGAAAACAGTGCGGTGATTCCTAAAAGAACTAAAAATTGATCTTCCATATGGCCCAGCAATCCCTCTCCTGGGAATATTCCCAGAGGAACATAAATCACTCTACCACAAAGATACCTGCACACACATGTTTACTGCTACACTATTCGCCATAGCAAGAACATGGAACCAACCCTGCTGCCCACAGAAAGTGGACTGGATAAAGAAAATGTGGTAAATATACAGGATGGAATATTATGCTATAAAGAAGAACAAAATCATGGACTTCACAGCAACTTAGATAGAGTTGGAGACCATCATACTAAATGACCTATCACAAAACAAAGAACTGATGTTCTCACTCAGAAGTGTAGTCACATTAGCACAAGGGTGTGATTGGCAGTCGCTGGGCACTGCTAAAGAAAGAGGGTGGGCATATGACAACATAAAGGGTCCCTGATCCACTACCAGGGAAAGTGAGGGCCAGTTAGAAGCCCAAACTTCATCTGCATGCAGCCTACTTATGTAGTTAACCTTCACTTATACACCACAACTCTATAATAAACAAATGTTAAAAATAATAAAAATTTTGTTTTCTAATTCTCCCTATGAATTTATATTTTAGTTAGGTAACAATTTTTTAAACATCTTTAAATTGCTCCTTTATAATTGTATTCATTCATAAATAAATTACATCTATAGATAGATACCATGTTGGCTCAACCCAAAGATGAATTGGAAGCATTATAGTTCTTCCACATAATAATTGTGTGGCATTATGCTGCTTTCCTAGTTACTGAGTCTGAATTTTCATCTGTAAAATGAGCTAGTACCTCATAGAGTTATTGTGAGTCTTTAAATGTAATAATAAATGCAAAGATCACAGACCTGGACATAGTAAGGACCTAACAAATGGCAGCTATGATTAACTATTTATTTTATTTTTCCGAGTCTCAGTCTTCAAGGGGTCTACAGTCCAGTAAAAGAAGCAACTAAGTAATGTCATTTCAGCTCAATGTTGATGAGTACCAGGATGGAGGTATGCAAAGGGTTCTTCATACTTACTGCCTAAGAAAGGCTCTTAGTCCAAGCCAGGGCATGCTGGGAAACCCAGAGAAGTTCCCCCACTATGCTACATTCTCACTCAGATCCCTTCGTCAACTTTCTCTACAAATGCATTAGGGCAAACCCAATATTGTCTTCTAGTATAGTGTCGATTCTTATTCCAAAACAACTGTCTATAACCTCGTCTCAATCTAAGTAAATTATTAAAAAATTTAATCATGGGTCAGGCATGGTGCCTCATGCCTATAATCCCTGCACTTTGGGAGGCCAAGGTGGGAAGATTGCTTGAGTCAGGGGTTCAAGACCAGCCTGGGAAATTTAGTGAGACCTCGTCTCTACAAAAATTAATATTTGAAAATTAGCCAGATGGTGGCTCAGGCTGAGGCAGAAGGATCACCTGAGTCCAGGAGATTGAGGCTGCATTAAGCCACGATCATGCCACTGTACTCCGCCCTGGGCAACAGGGTGAGATTCTGACCAAAAAAAAATTAATCATGGCATAAAAAGTTAAACTGCCTCAATGTAGCTAAGTCCCTTTATTACAAGGAATTTATTTTACTTGTGTCATTAAAGAATTCCTGGAACTTTCGAAGAAATCCCCTTCTTTTCACTGTCCAAACAAAATGACTGAGGGGACAAAACACCCAGCGCCAGTGTAGAAACCGCTTTAAGTTACCAAATGGAAACCTCCAGTTATGAATATTTATGAAGCATTTTTCAACCAGACTCTCTAGAAAGTCAACTTCATATTTCTGAGACATTTTCCCACCACAGGGCATATGGTTTGACCTAAAAAAGCGTAGTATAATTGACCAGCAATTAAGTTAAAAACCCTTTCCATACCTCTGATCTTTATGTTAAGCAAATGAGTGTTTAAAAAGAATGCAGGATACTACATGGTACAGTAGATTAGAGAGAAATACTTATAATATTATTTCAAGTTTAAAAACAAACATGTAGACATGGACAATAAGCCTGTAAGAATATGTATGAAGTTTGTAATCTAATGGCAATTTCTGTGTGATAGAATTATAATTATTTTTCTTTTTGTTACATGTAGTTTTTGAATTATTTGGTTCCACACATATTGCCAGAAACTTAGAAATGGAATAAAAGGAAACGGAAAATAGAAAGTAGGGCAGACCCCCAAAAAAGGCGAGGAAGAAAAGAAACAAAGGTTATTTTTAAGAATCCTAAAGTTTTTAAAGCAGGTTTTATATCAAAATAGACATCATTTTACAGACAAGTTTACAAGTATGCTACAAAGACAAATGTGTGCTGAGGGACCTGTCTGAGGAAACACAGTTCTGTTCTGTTGATGAAGGAGAGTGGGTGGTGACCTTCCGGAGTCTTGGGTTGTAGATAGGTTTCCTTCCCGTAGTTTGTGAGTTTCCAACAATTAAACACACACCCACACTCATTTTTAGCCCTTTCTCCACGTCTTACTCCTATGTCTTACGAGTAATACTATACTCAAATAATCTCATTGTTTCATGTATTTAACTAGACATACACACAAGCGCAGACACACACACACACACACACACACACACACACACACACAAACACACTCCTCTAGGTAAATGCTATTCTTCCTAATTTCTGTACTCACTGTGCTGTGGAAAAACCTCTGTGGAAATCATATTAGGAAGTATAACTCATGATTTTTTGCATGGGCCAGGCATTCTTTTTGAACTATATCAGTAAACAGAACAAAGATCCTTGCCCTTTGGGATCTCACAGTCTAGCTGAGGAAGTTGGGCAAACAAGAAACATTATAAAGTGAATTCCACAGTCTGTCAGAAGATGATGAGAAGTACAGAGACAAAAGACAGTGGAGCAGGGGATGGGAGGTTTGCAAGTGCTGGGGATGGGGCTACAATTAAAAAACAAAACAACTAAAAAAACAGAATAGTCAGAGTTCACCTCTTATAGACGGTGACATACAACCAAAGGTTTAAAGAGAAAGGGAATTTGCCACGTGGTTCTTTGGAAAAGAGGGTCCCAAGCAAGGGAAGAGCCAGTGCCTAGGCCCTTGTATACTAACATCTTGATCTTGAACTTCTAACCTCCAGAACTGTGAGAGATTCAACTTCTGTTTGTTTGTTTGTTTGTTTATTTATTTAGAGTCAGGGTCTCACTCTGTTCCCAGGCTGGAGTACGGGGACACAATCATGGCTCACCGCAGCTTGGACCTACGGAACTCAGTCGAGACTTCCACCTCTGCCTCCTGAGTAGCTATGACTACAGGTGCATGCCACCATAACTGACTACTTTTTTTTTTTGTAGAGATGGGGTCTCAGTATGTTGCCCAGTCTGGTCTCCAACACCTAGGCTCAAGCAATCCTTCTGCCTTGGCCTCCCAAAGTGTTGGGATTACAGGTGTGAGCCAATGCACCCAGCCAATTTCTTTTAGGCCACCTAGATTGCAATATTTTCTTATGGCAGCCCCAGGAAATAAATGCAGAGAATAAAAATACTGGAATCATGGGGTCAATATTTGAGGACAAGGGACCAAGAGAACTTACACTCGTAAGCTAACACTTCCAATCATATCCACATCTGTAAAATGCTAAAAATAGCAGTACTTATTTCACATAGTTGTTTTAAAGATTAAATGAGATAATGTATTTATACACATGGTGCCCATGGCACTGTGCATACAGTATGTGCTCTATAAATGGTCACTATTTTTATCCAAGAGGAACTTCTCTTTAGTTGTACTTGCAAGCTTGCTCTGTTTGATATGATAAAAATTCATACTTCATACCATCACAGATTGACCTATAAATCACTCAAGATTGAAACAAAATGTTTGTTATCTCTGTGGGAAACACTGAAAAATTAATAATAATATAGATATAAATCATATTTTCTCAATATAAGGCATGTTAAAACAGAAAAACGTGCCAAGTTTTTCTATCCAAGTGACTACTTCATTGCCAAAATATCTATTTCATTTAGATTAAGAAAAGATAATTATTTGTCCAGAAAAATGCACCGGCAACAACATGGGGCAAAATAATCACTGTTAGGAATCATCTAGACATCGTCACTATGAATTTTAATTTTTCTAGGATTCTGTCCTACTGACTATATTTTGATTTTATCATCTGTGCTCAAGTTAAAAATTGTCAGAATCTTACATAACACCAAAGATAATTTGATACTACCAAAGTGGTTCTAAATTAGCAGAAATTACGTCTGTGGAGAAAAGCTTGCTTAGAAAACGCTGATTTATATAGTGTTCGGGTTTGGACTCCCTCTGAGAAGGCTGGTCATGTAATTTACAAGCCTGGCAAAGCTGCCCTGATTTAATTCGGCCTCATCCTGCTTTCGGCATTACCATAGAAGTGAAGAACAACAGCACTGAAAAGGAGTTCACAATTCCTAACATCAGAGAAGCCAAGAGATAATAAATGAATGAATTGGGTGGAACACGTAAACACACATATACAAATCATAAAATATTATAGACTTTAAGTAAAATTAAATTACTGCACAAAATGCCCTAAAACTAAAATGTGGAAGAGACAGAAATTTATTTATAATTTATGAGAAGCCAAGCGAGAGTGATTGGGGCACATATAAAATAGGATTATAATGTAATTCTTAATTAAAAGAAGTAGAGATGAAAACACTTATTTTGGAGATTAATATTTGATTGCAATGCATTATGAAAGGACTTTTGTATTAAAAATAAAACATGCATTATAAAGTAGTGTAAATGGGTAGAGGATTTTGTTTTGGAGTGATGGAAATGTTTTGGAAGATTCAGGCAGAGGTAGTGGTTGCACAACATTGCGTATATACTAAATGCCACTGAACTGTCCACTTGAAAATGATGGGTTTTATGTTATGTGAATTTCATCTCCATATATATTTTCTCAGTCAGGGTCTTACTCTGTTGCCAAGGCTTGAATGCAGTGGCATGATTGTGGTTTACCACAGCCTCAACCTCTTGGGCTCAGGCAATCCTTTCTGCCTCAGCCTCTCAAGTAGTTAGGACTACAAAAGCAGGCTGCAAAGCTCAGCTAATATATTTCTGTTTTTTTTGTGGAGGTGAAGTCTTGCTGTGCTGCCCAGACTGGTCTTGAACTCCTGAGCTCAGGTGGTTCTCCTGCCTCGGACTCCCAAAGTGTTAGGATATAGTGACCACCACACCCAGCCATGGACAATAGTTTTTTTAAAAACCAACTTATTAAAAGCTTATTAAAAACTTATTAAAGCTTATTAAAAACTTATTAAAATACTATATAGCATATACACATGCACATACACGTGTATATATACACATGTATGTATATATGTATTAGTTCCTTCAAAAATTATTTTTAACTGTAGCACATAACATAAAATTTACCATATTAACTCCTCCTTTTTTTTCTGAGTCGGGGTTTCACTCTGTTGCCCAGGTTTGAGTACAGTGGCATGATCCCAGCTTACTGCAGCCTTGACCTCCTAGACTTAGATGATCCTTTAACTTCAGCCTCCCGAGTAGCTGGGACTATAGGCTCAGGCCGCCGTGGTTGGCTAATTTTTTTTCTTTTTTTTTTAAAGATGAGGTCTCGCTATGTTGCTCAGTCTAGTCTCCAACTCCTGGCTCAAGTGACCTTCCCACCTTGGCCTCCCAAAGTACTGAGATTATAGGCATGAGCCACCATGCTGGGTCTCATTATAATCATTTTTAACAGTACAGTTCAGTAGTATTACGTATATGTAGTGCCTGTAACAATCTCCAGAACTTTTTCATCTTGCAAAAATAAAATTTTATATCCATTAATCAATTCCCCTCATAAATGTTTTTTTTTTTTTTTTTTTGAGTTAGAGTCTCACTCTGTCGCCAGACTGGAGTGCAGTGGCCGCTCCCGGTCACCGCAGCCCCGCCTGCTGGGCTCCGGCGATCCTTCCGCCTCAGCCTTCCGAGTACCCGGAATTACAGGCGCACGCTAGCACGCCCAGCTGATTTTTTGATTTATTGTAGAGGTGAGGTCTCGCTGCCCAGGCGGGTCTCGAACCCGCGGGCTCAGGCAATCCACTCACCTCAGCCTCCCAAAGGCGCGGGATTACAGGCTGAGCCACCGAGCCTGGCTCATAAATGTTTTTAAGAAGCTAAAATAAATAAGAAAATAGCACAATGTCATCTTAAACAAAGACTGAGGTTTGAAGTGTTAATTTCCATTTATTACATCTAGCTGGCTAGAAACTTTTCCCAGATCTCAATCTCCCATTTCACAAAGTAGATTTGCTTTGTTGAGGATAATTTACATAAAAGACCTTCATTATACATTCAGTCTTTCATCAAATGTCCAAAATGTCCACTGAGATGGTGGAAAAAGAGTTCTGGAGGTAGAAACAAAAGGACGCAGCATTTCAGGCAGAGGAATTAGTGTAAGGTGAGGCAGAGGATACCAACAAATAGAAAGATAACACCATATGTGTCATCCTCACAAGTTATTTAACCGATATGGCCTGTGAAAATCAGTAAGACACTGTACCTTGGTACTCTATCGCTGTGACGACTTGTTGGCCTTTTTGGGCAGATAATCCATAGGCCTTATGATCTGAAAGATTAAAACAAATAGGATAATTAAAATAATACAAGTCTATTTTCAAATGTTTAAGTGGAATATACCTTTTTTTAATGGCCTAAATTTCAGTGACAGTTTTACACAATTCGTAACACAAAAGTTTTCAAGTATCAAAATAGGAAAAACCAAACAAAACCATACACGACTCTTTGATTTTCTGTATTGTGGTTTGACCTTTAAGCATTTCCAAAGCAGAACCCAGGAACCAGCTCAAACATTAAACAGGTATTTACATCCTTAACTCAGCTTAATATAGAGCCTAGTGTCACAGGGTATTTCTCCCCCCCTCAAAAAAAATAATTGTTTTTAGTGCCTTACTCAAGGATACAAACAGTTTTATAAATTTATCCCTGACTCCCTGTATCCTATACAAAGGAGTCATTTTACATACTTTTGATGAAGAAATATAATGTGTAACATATAATGTATACTCTATATACATTATATGTTACATTATTTTATACAATTATGAAAAAATGCAAGCAGAACCTCTTTATTTTCTTCCCAAACATTTCCCCCAAAACAATAATTTTCTAGGGTTGTTCTACAGATTGAAATACCTGACTGACTATGGTGGCTATTGTTATTTACATGAGGCCCCACTGCTATCATCACCCTCTTAAATTAACACAGATATTCCCATTTAAAAATGCCTTCATATACTTGTTTTTATCTGATGAAATTCTATATTCAAAATGACCTGGAGTGGTAGGCATTACTAGGACTTAAATAAGAATGTAGCAGTACCAGGAATTTAAACTTTCTTTTTTTTTTTTTTGAGTTGGAGTCTCACTCCGTCGCCCAGACAGGAGTGCAGTGGCCGCTCCCGGCCACCGCAGCCTCGGCCTGCTGGGCTCCGGCGATCCCTCCGCCTCAGCCTTCCAAGTAGCTGGAACTACAGGTGCGTGCTACCTCACCAGGCTAATTTTTTTTTATTGTAGAGATGAGGTCTCACCAAGTTGCCCAGGCGGGTCTCGAACCCCTGGGCTCAGGCAGTTCACTCACCTCAGCCTCTCAAGGCACGGGATTACAGGCTGAGCCACCGAGCACAGCTGGAATTTAAACTTTCTAATTCAATCTTTGATATGTAATGTGTTATTTCACTGTATGGATGTCACTCTATAGTCCAGTTTCAGGACCATGTTTAAAAATAACTTAAATAATTTTTTTTTTGAGCTAGGTGTTCACTCTGTCACCCAGGTTGGAGTGCTGTGGCACAATCACAGCTCACCACAGCCTCCAAATCCTGGGTTCAGGTGATCCTCCCACCTTAGTCTCCCAAGTAACTGGGACTATAGGCATGTACCACCATGCTTGGCTAATTAAAAAAAAATTTTTTTGTAGAGATCAAGTCTTGCTATGTTGTACAGGCTGGTCAATTTAAATAATTTCTTATAAGTATACATCTCTAAAATGTAAATGCTACAAAGGTAAGACTGTGTCCTGCTGTATTCTCTGAAAAAGCCCAAACACCTAGAACAGTGCCTGGCATAAAGCAAGGCATGATAAATATTTGTTGACTAAACGAGCCCATTCCTTATTTATTGTAAGCTAATGAAAAAAGTCCAGTAAGTGGAGTCAGATCAAACCAATAGTAAGGAAGGGCTCCTGAAGGCAAGTACTTCTTTTGAGAGGGTGTTGTTAAGTATACAATATTGGATTGGTATTCATTGTTTTAAAATCAGAATAATGAAAAACATTATTGTTGGTCATCTTGAGTAAACAATTTAGGCAAAACAATCCAACTCCTGTCCTTTATTATCCAATCAAAAATTCACACATGAAATAATCTAAGACCAATTTAAGCCTCCCCAGAAAATATAAAGAAGGTTCTTTCTTGAATACATATTTCTACAATTTACTATAAATGCTGTTGTCTCTGCTCATGCTACCACCTGTCCTCTGTCTTTCTATGATCTACTGACCTTGTTTTTACCAAGGCAAAAATGACTTATCTGTTGCCATATCCAATGGACACTATTCAGTCTTTATCTTACTTTACCTGTCAATGACATGTGACTCTGCTGACTCCCTTGTATTCTGTGACATGGTTCTCTCCTAGTTTTCATCCTCTCTTCTTGATACTGGTACTTCATTCTGTGTCTATTGTGGGTTCGTCCCTCCCTTCCTCCCTCCCTCCCTCCCTCCCTCCTTCCCTTCCTTCCTTCCTTCCATTAACCCATTCATCTACCCATCCACTGACTGCTTTTCTGACTCAACTTCCTCTTTCTATATAGTCTTTTATACTCTCATTGACTCAACTGCCATGCACTTGCCCAAAAGTCCTAAATCCATATTTCCAGCTGTAAGCTCTCTTGAGATTAAATCCATACTCCCTTCTACTGGTAGACATTTGCATTTCCATTTCCAAAAAGCACCACATACTCATGGGCAAAAGTAAACTCATAAGCTTGCCTCCCAAATTTGTTTCATTTCTATAAATCCTATTACTATGAAAGACATCACAATCCACACGGTCACTCATGCCAGAAACTTAGGCATTGCCCATGATGCGTCCACCCTCTCATCCATTCACTAGTCAGATTCCATCTACAGACTACACATTTTGTGTCATCCATGACAATTTTTTGAAATTTTTGTTCTTTCCTCTGTTTCCCATCTCCCACCTTCACTCAACAAAATATTCTTTACTTTAGAGGGAGATATGAATAACCAAACCAAAGAGATTCCCTGGTAGTCTAGTGGTTAGGATTCAGTGCTCTCACCAAACCAGAGAGAGTATTTCCCTTTCCACACTTAAAAACCTTGACCATTAGAGAAATGAAAACAAAAACAACAACAACAACAAAACTGCTTAGGCAAACACTTGAGAGAAATCATCATAAATAAAATATACCTGCTCCCCAGATTTGGAGTAGAGAGAAGGAAGTGAGTTGGAGAACTAGAATCTTGGTGGGCTCTTGAGAAAGAACAATAATAGCTAACATGTGTTGAGCCCTTAATACTGTATAGGGATTAACTCATTTAGCTTTCATAATAATTCTCTGTGGTAGGGTTTCATTTTTACCCACTATTTCTCAGGCAGGAAAACTGAGACAGAGAGAGAGTAAGAAACTTGGCCAAGGTTATAGAAGAAATAAGTGGTAGAGTTGGGATTTGAACTCAGACAGTCCGTACCCAAATCCACACAGTTAATTACTGTACTACACTAGGCCCCACACCATGCTTCCCCTCAAACTGGACTACAAACAAAGATTGCATATTAACAAAGAGCCAGATTCACTGGTCTAATGAAGATGGGATAGGTTGAGAAAACAGTAGTTAGGATGAAGGCCAAGGGCAGGCTCTGAAGCACATCCAGAAGGTGGAAACTAAAAGACTGTGACTAAGGAAGGAGGACACCAAGGTAATCCCAGAGGAGAGGCTCTTGGTGGGGATTTCTCAGTCTTGACATTATTGGTATGTACAGCCAGATCATTCTTTGTTGCGGGGGACTGTCCTGTGATGTGTAGGATGTTTGCAGTATGCCTGGCTTCTACCCACTGGATGCAGGCACCACGCCCCTCAAGTCATGAAAAATAAAAATGTCACTAGACATTGGAAAGTGTCCCCTGAGGGTGAAGCTGAAGAAACCACTCCTGGTTGAGAAGCACTGCTCTAGACTTACAGTTAGACTAATTTGAAGAACTAGGAACGGAAATCAACCAAAAGAGGAAATAAACAAACGGATGGCAAAACACTACGAGTGCAAAGATTTTGAAAGTTCCTATAAAATTGGCATTTAATAACTATGAAAGTAAATCTATTATGCTTCCTGGAAAGAGAGTAAAATATTTCATGTAATATGGCATCATTTATATACGTTTGTATGTATGTATATAAATTAGTCTTCCACTGTGCTAGACTTTCACTCCTAAGGAACACATGCCATTCTGGAGAAAATTTTTGTTTTCCTTTTTCTCTCCCTTAGAAGCCTGGACAGCAAATATAATTGAGAAATTAAAATGTACAAAAGTCTACAGGACTCAAATGTCAGGTGCGATAAGTCTAGACTGCAAACATCTTCATTAGGCAAACTGGCAAATGTGTCTATGTGAAAAATGCAGGACTGAATGTTTTCCTTTTTATTGATAGCTGTAAACATGTCTGCATAAAGCAAGCCCTTGTGACTAAGTCTTAGAGAGACATCAGGGCCACCAAAGAGTAATTTCAAAATAAGTCTTTTGCTTGTATATTTCAAGAATCCTGAAAGGGGTCCAAGCAATCTTTTTAAATATCCTTTTTCCCCTTTTCTGTTCAACTTCTGTCACATACCAACTGTTCTTTCTTTTCTCTTCGCCCATATCCCTTTCTCTTCTCCTACATCGTTTTCTTTCTCAGCTTCTCCTATCCGCCTCCATTTTATTTTATAGACTTCAAAGGTAGAGTCTGAATCTGTAGAGAGGAAAGGAAGGAAACGAAGTAAAGAGAACAGACTAGAATTCTCTTCAGGGAGCTGAGGAAAACACCACAGGACCTTACGTGTTCTAGTTGCTTTACTCCTACATTTAATGACAGAATCTTTGAACATTTCCACCAATGATTCCAGTTCCAAGCTTTTCTCCTGTAAAACTTTTCAAGCACTCTTTGGAAAAGTCTCTCTTCTCCTTTAGCAATGTGTGAATTAGTGCCCTCAGAGAAGCTCCTTATGACTGACAATTCTTGTGATTTTTGAAGTACTTTTAGTACTTTTTAGACAAAACAATGAAGACTCAAATTCCCTAGAAACCAGTTGAGGAAAAAAAATATGGGCAAAATAGGAAAAGATAATCTTTGTTCCTTCCATGCCACTGTATCTTTGAACTTCTCAAACACTGCTCTGCCTACTGAGAATGTTTATTTTCTTCTCAAGGCTCTGGACTTCATTCATTTGAGGCGAGCTTTAGAACAGTCTGAGCTTAGAAGATTTAGGAAATGGGTATCAGGAATAATTGAAAAAGAAAATCATCTTGTTTTTCTCATTTCCAGTTTTCTACTTGTTAAAACTTCCTTTGAGAAAGACTTCTTAAATTGTCAAAAATTACTTTAAAATTTCTGTGGAAAAGAATAGGTGTTAACTTCAGGAATTTTATTAATTCCCTCATAAATTTTACATGTATATATTTTAACTGAAAAAAAATATGTTCCAACCCTTAGACACACACACACACACACACACACACATACACACACACACCCCAGATGCTAAAAATGAGAATTAAATTGGCAAAATTATGAAGATAAAATATTATAAAGAAAATTAGCTTTAAAACATTAATAAAGGTAATATTTCTTGGTAGCTAGATATCTATTATATGATTTCTTTTTCTTTTCTTCTTTTTATTTCTATAAATTTAAGGGACACAACTGCAATTTTGTTACATGGTTCTACTGCATAAGGATGAAGTCTGGGCTCTTAGTGTATTCATCACCTGAATAATGTATGTGGTACCCATTTCTCTGATTACAAGTGTCTTTTCCTTCTAGCTACTTTGCTTTCTCTAATCCTATCTACTTCAAGGTATGCTTATAAATTTAAAAAATATTTAAAATGCATGGTCACTTATATAAAACTTATTTGAACAAAAGTTTTGAATCCAAAATAATAAAACATTTATTTATTATAATATCTC